GCAGTACCCTTGGGGTAACCTAGTCCACGTATATTGTTCACCTTTATACATGAAGGCAAACAAGTAGTAGGACTCTGGGTGAATTGGAACCGAAAAGAATGCAGAACATAAATCGATAACTGAATAGCAGACCGAAGTGGCGGGAATGGCCGTTAGAATGGTCGCAGGATTACAACAACAACAACAACAACAAAATTCCATTTATAGAGCGCCTTTCACGTCAGGAGGACGTCCCAAGGCGCTGCACAGTTGGGTCATGACCCGAGCAGGGGGGAAATGGTCAGGGTGAGGGGAGGGAAGGGAGGGAGAGAGGAGGGGGAAATGGTCAGGGTGAGGGGAGGGAAGGGAGGGAGCGAGGAGGAGAGTCGAGAGGGGAGCTGAAGGCACGGTCAAAGAGAAAGGTTTTGAGACCGGCCTTGAAGGAGGAAAGGGAGGAAGCAAGGCGAAGGCACTGGGGGATGGAGTTCCAGAGCCTCGGGGCTGAGAGGCTGAAGGCGGTTGGGGCGGGGGACGTGGAGCAGACCGGAGCCAGAGGAACGGAGGGTACGGGCAGGTAGGTAGGGGGATAGTAGGTTGGAGAGGTAGGAGGGAGCAAGGCCGTGAATGGCCTTGTAGGTGAGGATGAGGATCTTGAAATCAATCCTCTGGGGGATGGGGAGCCAGTGGAGGCGAGCGAGGGTAGGAGTGATGTGGTCCCGAAGCCTGGTGCGGGACAGTACACGAGCTGCAGAGTTCTGAATGACCTGCAGCTTGTGGAGGGAGGTGCCGGGAAGGCCGGCGAGGAGAGAGTTCCCATAGTCCAGCCTTGAGGTGACAAAGGCGTGAACCAGGGTTTCAGCAGCGTGAGGGGTGAGGTAGTGCCGTAATCTGGCGATATTCCGGAGGTGATGGAAGGCGGTGCCAGTTGTGGTGCGGATGTGAGGGAGAAAGGACAGCTCAGGGTCGAACAAAACGCCGAGGTTCCTGACTGGCTTTGAGAGGTGGAGAGTGCAGCCTTGGATGCTGATGGTGTCAGCGCCTGAGGTGCGGAGGCGCTGACGTGAGCCAATCAGGAGGGCCTCGGTTTTTTGCACGTTGAGCTGAAGAAAGTTGTCTCTCGTCCAGGACTCGATGTCGGACAGGCAGGCTGTCAGGACATCGGTGGTCGTGGAGTTGAGAGTAGAGGAGGAAAGGTAGAGTTGGGTGTCATCCGCATACATGTGGAAGTTAACCCCATGTTTGCGGATGATGTCACCAAGGGGGAGCATATAGAGGGTGAAGAGGAGGGGACCGAGGACAGAGCCCTGAGGGACACCACATGAGACAGTACGGGGGGTGGAGGAGAAGCCATTCGTTGAGACGAAGTGAAGACGGTGGGAAAGGTAAGAGCTAAACCATTCAAGGACAGTGCCTTGAAGGTTGAGGTGGGAGGACAAGCGGTGGAGTAGGATAGCGTGGTCGACCGTATCGAATGCTGCCGATAGGTCGAGGAGGACGAGGAGACAGAGGGAGCCCTGGTCACAGATAGTCAGGATATCATTGGTGACCTTGACCAGGGCAGTTTCTGTGCTATGAGCAGCACGGAAACCTGACTGAAGGGGTTCAAAAAGAGAATGGGTGGAGAGGAAAGAGCGCAGTTGGGAGGCGACAACTCTTTCCAAGACCTTGGAGAGAAAGGGGAGGTTGGAGATGGGCCGGTAGCTTGATAGCTGCGACGCATCAAGGGAGGGTTTTTTCAGGGTGGGCGTGATGATGGCAGTTTTTAATGGAATGGGGACAGAGCCAGAGGAGAGGGACAGGTTTATGATGTCAGTGATGTGTGGGGCAAGAAAATGGAGCTGGGAGATAAAAATTAGGGACGATAGGGCAACATTGCATTACCACGTCGTTGATTGCTCTTAAATCCTGGACAAAGCGCCATCGCTTTCCATCTGCTTTAAGGACTGGTAGAATGGGAGTGTTACAGGGGCTACGGTATTTAATAATGATTCCCTGATTCAACAAGCTTTCTATTACTGCTCGTATTCCCTCCTCAGCCTCCTTTTTCAATGGATACTGCGCGCGGTAGGGAAGGGGTTTTTCTGGGTGCACCTGTACCTTAAAGGGTGCTGCCGTCAGTATCTTCCCCACATCATTGGGGTGTATGGTCCATAGGGCGGAGTTTATTTCTTTTAACCACTCTGGTTCTGCCGCCAGAAGAGGCAGAACATGGGAAGATGAATTGTGAGTGTGCTGAATAAACTCAAACATGGTCAAAAGTGAGAGGGGATCAATACACAGTTTATAAATCCGCAAGCACGAGTCGTATAAAATGTCAGGGCAAAGTTCGGTGAAATTTGGTGACCAGTTTGCCTTCCTGACCATTTGCCCTAAGTCCTTTGGGCTGAACCCATCCACTATTCTTAATGTTACATGAGAGTCAGAAGTATTACCTTTAAAATAAAGCTGCTCCTCTGTTGTCAGAGTACATGCAGCTGCAATACCCTGCGGTCCCAAATAGAGGAAATGAGCCTGAATAGTGGAAGCAACCGCGACATGCTCTTTGAACCGAGTTATGTCCACTTCCTTGTTGTCGACGTAGAAAGCCGTACAATGCAATCTGGAAGTAGGTGGTGCTAAAACATGCTCCAAAAAATAACATTCAAGAAGTGGCTCACTAACATAAAGTAACATGGTAGAATATAACACCTCAGGCTTTTTCAATGTCCAACAAAAATAACCTGGGGATTGTAGTTTCTGAGAGCTGGGAGAAACCAAGGAGCACAGTTCTGGGTACTCGCGTTCTGGTGCCAATAAGGTAATGCCATCCGGGGTACATTGGATGATTATCCCCATTTTACAGAGCAGATCTCGCCCACACAGATCAATTGGTAATTCGCTATTTACCAAAAACTGATGGTAACCCTCAATCGTACCGTCACCTATATCCTGTTAAGAGGGCGACTTCCTCAGCTGCATCTCTTTCCCCTCTTTCTGGTTTCTTTATCCTGGCCACCAGTAGCTTTGTTGCTGAGTTCTGCCGGCTGGCCAGAATACTCTGCGCCTGACGCTTTTGGCTTTCACAGACCCATAAATTAAGCGCCGCTATTTGTGGGGATAGGTTATGTTTCCTGCAGATACTGCTACCACACCCACTCTGCTCTGATTTGGCATGTACCGCTGCCTGAAGAGCGGCAATACGGTCTTTATTAAAGGACCCGTCTGGAGGACAGGAGCAAGGCTGGCCCTTAGTTAATTTAGTCCAGCTCTGCAGATAGCGAACACTGTGTTGGCCAAAATGGGTTTCCATGTAAGCCGCTGGAGTCCCCTTATCGCCCTTTTTAGCCGAGCTAAATGATTGTCCCATGGTATAGTTTAACAACGAAACAAGTGGTTGCCCCAACACAGTCAAAATACAAGCAATTATCTATTTCTATTTTCAACGGCCGATTCCTTATGCATGCAAGACTTTATCATACTTAAGACATCGAACTTATCAATTACAACTTATAATATTAGGGACTCGAACCCGTAGTCGACTTAATATTAGGGACTCGAACCCGTAGTCTACTTAACCTTAGGGACTCGAACCCGTAGTCTACTTAACCTCAATCCTAGGGACTCGAACCCTTAGTTTAACAACCTTAATATTAAACAACCTTAATATTAAACAACCGATATTAAACAACCGATCGGAGTTATAACTTTATCTGTGTCGGGCGGAAACACCAGCGGCCGACTTCCCTGAAGACGTCTTATCCATGTACTATACCTTATAGTACTAAACCGCCTGAAATTATTTAGGTCTAACAAATCTTTTGTTAGACCTAAATAACAAAAAATTGTTATTTAGGTCTAACCTAATCTAGACCTAAATAACAAAACAAAAATTTTGCACCTTTGATCGAAGAGGCTGGGAACGTTCGGCAACCGCGTCTCAACAACGCATCGGACACAAACAATGGTAAGAATGCTTACCTGTGCACGATGTTTGTGCCGATAGCTGCAGTCGTAGGAAGCCGAAGGGGAAACCCAGTCTTTCGATCTCGGTGGTACCTCCAAATTGTCGAACCCAGTTGCTATGTGCGATTGCTCTTGATGACCTGAAGCTCAACACGCCCGAGTCAGTGCGGCATTTATTTAACAAGCTTTATTTCACATATATATATATGGGGTGCAGGGCAGTAGCAACGACTTCCTTCTAGTGCTGCTCCCTACTCTGCACACCAAATAGGTTAAAACATCTCATCTTTATACAGATCTCATTCAACAGTTCTGAGGAGACATTCTACATTGATTACTTTACAACGTCCTGTCTCGCAAGAGCTCTCGAGAAACATCACAAGGGTGTTAGATCTGTTTTAGGTCAACATGAGATAGTCACCTTATCTTTCAATAGGATGTTGTAAAGTTTTACAACAACATGCTTGATCTTACTTGCTCCTTTTGGCCTTTGATGCATATGGCCTGCTTAATTGCTAACTTTGCACCAAAAGGCAGAATGTGCTGAATTTGCCTTCCACACCCATCTAATTTCCTTTTGAAAGCTTTTGAAATAGCTTGTTACCAATTGGGTCCTTAGCCATTGCAAAATATTAATGTCAATCATAATAAAGATGGTACTGATCCAGTCTGAAAGAGGAATAAACCACTTGGGAGGAAAGGTATGCTGCCATCTAGTGGTTGTTTATTCTGGGGTAAACTAATGCAGTTAGAGAAATAATTAATAACTATTAATAACTATTAATAACGCTTGATAACTGCATCACTGTCAAGCTTCTTGATTTAATAGTTCAAGGTACCTGAAGTGCAACATAATATAAAGCTATCTGTAACCCGGGAAACATACAGTATTGACAAATAATGTTTATATTATCATTAAATTTCAATATTTTCACAAATATGAAACCCAGGAATGCTAACTAATTGGACAAATTCCCACGGGTAACAGGTGTAGTAGTATAGTAGGAACAATTGTTCAGAAGATTACAATATTTAAATATTACACATTCTGTAGCCAAACTCATTTTGGTTTCCTTTAGACTTGGAGGGATCTTCTCTCAGAGAAGTCTTCAGATATAAAAGAGATACCTCATCAGAGTCATCTCGCATACTAGAATTGTCCAGTGAATTAGAATCAGCCGAATTGGATAATAGTCCTGGTAAGTACATATTTGTCTCATTATTAAGATATTGGAATGTTGAATAACATTATTCTTTTAGATCATACATATCCACTCATTAGTAATTGTTAGTTGTAATAAAAGTGATTGTTGGAATTTGGACAACAATCTAAGGATCTTGGATGGTTTGTTGATGACTATGCTAAATTATTGAGAGGCAACAATAAACCAGACAAAGGAATGCTGGGCTTTATTACCAAATCAGTTGCAATCATATCCTTAGAAACAATGTTTTAGCTGTTCAATGGTCTGGTCAGGACACAATAAAAATAAAGGAGCTGATCATATCCTAGAGGTAGTGCAGAACAACTAGTACGATTCACAGAATTAGCGGGATTAGCTTTGATGAACAATTAGATAAGATAGGCATTCAGCCTTGATAAAAGCCATATCAGCATGAATGTTAAAGAGTTATACAAGATGCAAAACACCAGAAAGTAATGCATTCAGATACACCAAGCCCCAGAAAAAGAGGACACAGGTTCACAGAGCACACATTGAAGGATAATTTAGGACATCCACCAGGAATTACTGCTTTATAAAAAGATTAATTAATAATTGGAACCCATTCTACCAGCAAGATTGGTTTCATTTCATTTAAGAAATGATTGAATGCTTTAACAGCAGCATGGGTAATCTGGAAGAATTGGATCAAATTGGCCACACTACTTTCTTCATTCAATATTTTCTTGTGATCTTTCATTCTAGGCACCTGCAGCACATGGGGAAATGGAGCTGTCAGATCATATCAGGATACATTTTATCATTTTACATCAACTTGCAACTACATGCTGAGCCGTCAGTGCGATGGAACCGCAGAAGATTTTAGTGTAGAAATCCGCCGATCAAATAGTACGCTGGAACATATATTGATACAGATAGAAGGAGTCCTCATTTCTGTGTTCAATGGCGCAATTAGAGTAAAAGATGCCTTGTAAGTTATATTATATGAGTTTATATTTAATTGCAAGATGACGGGAATAACTACTTAATTATCCCGTGCACCCCATCTCCCAGCGGATTGAATTCAAGATACTTGTCCACAATGAAATCCCTCCAAGGCCTTGACTGACCCTCAAGGATCTTCTGCAGCCCTACCCTACTCAGCTCTTCCCTCTTCTCAGCAAACACTTGCCTGATCTGCTCCAGCGTAACTCGGCGAGTTTTCAGCAATTCTAACACTGCTCTCGAACTTCAGCCTGGATTCCCTCCAACTCCCCTCTCCATTTTTAAAAAGTACTTTTGTCTTTGACCATGCTTTCAGTCATTTTATTCCCCCACCGCTCTCTCAGCAACCCCCCCACTTGGCTTGGGTGTAAAGCCAGATGTGTGAAACACTTTGAGGTGTTCTTCCAATGTAAAAAGCGTGGTATAAATGAAAAATATATTGTATTAATGAACAAACATATCTTTGTTGTCCAGTTCTCTACTTATGTGCCTTTGGTCACCTTCCTCCCCCTCCCTCTGGCTCGGTCCCGGGATCCATTACTGTGAAGCGCTCTGAGATGCCGTTTGGCGTGGAGGCGGTATATAAATCTAAGTTGTTGTTATTTCTCCTGGATTTATGCAGTAATAGGTTCCTTCCTATGATAAAAAAGCAAAAAACTTTTCAGAATGTTATGCTATTTCTTGTTTCTCTTTAAGTCTAAATAAAGTTCTTCAATCGTTATTGTTTTCATTTTGTAGAGTACCATTGCCATTTGATAACAAGGCAATCAGTATTCAACCATATGGAATTTATATACGGATTTCAAACAGAAAACATACAATATCTGTAACCTGGGATAAACACAATGCTTTGTCGGTAAGAACAATGCAACAATAATTTTAATACATTTTATATGCCATGCCATAACAGAGTGTTATGGAAATAAGAGTAAACAGCTGTGGATCAAAGGAATGAATGTTAATCAAAGAATCACACAACACTAATTAACCAGTTAAGACCACTCAACCAGCATGCGTCTCAATCCCTTTTTGGCCCAGAATTGTGTTACCACCTTTGGGAGCCTCTTCATTCAAACTGGTCCTCCCAATGAAGAGGACCTGAGGAGACTCTTGGGTGGAGAAGTGCTAAGTTCTTCTCACAGACAGGGCACTGTTATGAATGTCACACGGTCCTGGCTGTGAGGAACCACATCCACCCACCACATGATTGGCAAGTTCACTTGCTACCTCACTCCTACCCAGCTGAGCTGTTCTTCCAAAGCTCTCAAACAGGTGAATATATAATATCTAAGCAAGATGGGTACAAGACTAAGATATATATAACAACTTAATTGAAGAACTTTTAGTAGTCAGATCTAGAACTATTGACACTGGGAAAACAATAAATCAGGAAGCTGAAGGATATTGCTTTTATTTTTATTTCCATCAGGAGTAAAGGAATCTCCTTTGAGATCAAATTGCTAGAAGCTTTCTAAGGCTGATGCTTTGTATTTAGTTTAATTTGGTGATATGCAGTTATAATAGAATGTCACTTTCACATTTATCTCAAGATGTGTAATTTTGTATTGTTGATTCATGTTCTCCTTTGATTCTGTGTTTATAATGCTGAGAGTAAAATACTACTGATTTATACTTCATGTGCCACATAGCATTGAATTGCTGCTATAAAAAAAAGCAAATGGTCAATTTAACGTTATGCATTTGTGCAACTTACTGCAAGGATAGACTATTAGAATCATTTTTTAAAAAAATCTGTTAATGATTTAGTCATAGGATCACACTAAACTGCATGAACTGCACCGGCTCAGGATTTATATTGTATGTTCACTGGTGTATCACCAAATAATTATGCACACTACGTAAATAATGATAAAACACAGTAGTCTAATTCGACATTCAATGAAGTGAAATGAATGTAGCGCTTTTCAAATAATGTAAAAACTTTTAATGAAAGAGCATCCTTTATTTTCATATATTCTGATGGAAGCACCATCTCCATAAGAACTAAAGTTGCTGAACATGCTTACAACTTTATTATTTTTGTTTCAGATAACAGTTGATACTCAATATCGAGGGTTATTATGTGGTCTTTGTGGGTCTTTTGGAGAAGCCACTGAACCCAATTTTGGTAAAGTTGCCTGATTTCCAATGTGGTTCATAAATTAAATGACGGGACGTCCTCCCAACGTGAAAGGCGCTCAATAGATGGAATCTTGTTGTTGTTGTAAATATTCAGTTTATTATTCAATAGATAATTATAAATTCAATCTCACACATTCCCCTCCCCCTCCCCATCATCTGCTCCTACCACAAAACCCATCCTCTATTTCTTTCTCCCCATCTCTCCCTCCTCCCTCTCACCCACCATCACCTCAATGAAACCCACCATCTGCTGCCTCGACCCCTTCCCCACCAACTTGCTGGTCACCCAGCTCCCCCTCCTGTGCCCACTACTGGCTGATGTCATCAACCAGTCCCTCTCCTCTGGATCAGTCCCTGCCCCCCTCAAAACTGCTGTCATCACCCTCCTCCTCAAAAAACCTTCCCTAGATCCCTCAAACCCCAGCCACTACTGCCCTATTTCTAACCTGCCCTTCCTCACAAAAGTCCTAGAACACGTTGTTGCCAACCAACTCCCCGCACACCTCCTCCCACTCCCTCTTCGAACCCCTCCAGTCCGGTTTCCGCCCTGCCCACAGTACAGAGACTGCGCTTAGGAAAGTCACAAACGACTTCCTCTCTATCTGTGACCAGGGCTCCCTCTGCCTCCTTGTCCTCCTGGACCTCTCCGCTGTGTTCGACACAGTCGATCACTCCATCCTCCTCCACTGCCTTTCCTCCGTCATCCACCTCAGTGGGACCGCCCTCGCCTGGTTCGAGTCCTACCTCACAAACCGCCAGCAGTACATCTGCACAAACGGCTTCTCCTCTCGCTCCCATCCAGTTACCTGCGGGGTACCCCAAGGATCCATCCTTGGCCCCCTCTTCTTTCTGATCTACATGCTCCCTCTTGGAGATAACATCCGCAGACATGGGGTACACTTCCATGTGTATGTGGACGACACATCTCTTTGCGACCTCCAGTCCCCTGATGTTCTGTCAGACTGCCTGTCAGACCTCAGGACCTGGATGAGCGCAAATTTCCTTCAGCTGAACGTTGACAAGATGAAAGCCATACTCTTTGGCTCTCGTCAATGTCTAAAATCTCATGGTTCTCACCTCCTCCACCTACCCGACCTCCCCCTAAAGCTCTACGAACCCGTACGCAACCTAGGCGTCAGGTTCGATCCCCAATTATCCTTCCTCCCCACATCCGGTCCCTCACCAGTACCGCTTTCTTCCCCCTCCGACGCATCGCCCGTCTCCGCCAATAACTCACTCCACAAGCCACTGAAACTCTGGTCCATGCCTTTGTTACCTCTCGGCTGTACTATTCAAATGCCCTCCTCACCGGCCTCCCCTCTACTACCATCCATAAAATCCAGATTATTCAAAACTCTGCCCCCCGCATTCTCACCCGCAACAAACTACGCTCCCCGCTTACCCCAGTCCTTGCCAGACTGCACTGGCTGCCTGTCCCAGAGAGGATCGACTTCAAGATCCTCACCCATGTCTTCAAATCCCTCCACTCTTCTGCACCTCTACCTCTCTGACTTCCTCTCTCCCCAAAACAGTGCCCGTTGCCTACATTCCTCCGGGTCTGGCCTCTTCCTTGTCCCCCAAGTCCTCCGCTCCACAGTGCCTTCAGCCACTATGCCCCGAGGCTCTGGAACTCCCTTCCTCACTCACTTCGCCTCGCCCCCTCTCTTCCTATTTTCAGGTCTCGGCTGAAGACCTTTCTTTTCGACTGCGCCTTTGGTCACCTTCTTCCCCCTCCCCCTGGCTCGGCTCTGGGATCTGTTACTGTGAAGGGCTCTGAGACACCGTCCGGCATGGAGGGCGCTATATAAATCCAGGTTGTTGTTGTCAATCGTTATTTCCATGTTTGCTAAGCATTCATTTAATGCATTGAATAAATGAAAAAAAATTGCCTTTTTTTTGCTGTATGTTTTGCAGATTTACCATTTATTGTTTCGCACAAGTTGGAAACTCTCAGTAGTACCTGTACGACTAGCATATCAAAACAAATAACTTGTTTACAAAGTGAAGTAAGTCCTGAATTACCGGCTAGTATTTTGTGAGGCATTAACGCACAAGAAGTGTAACTTTGAACTAACCGAGATCTCAGCGCGTATTATTATTCGTACTATATTACCCTGTAAAGTAGGTATTTAATTTTAAATAATGTTGATAATTCTGGGCTGATAGAGTGTGCTTGCATTTTGCACTAATGACATTGGGACTTATTTTCCACTGCTGAAGAATTTTTTGAGTTAAATGCAGAGTTTCAATAATGTCGTAAGATAAGTAACACAATGTAGTGCTGATTGATGATGTATTTGAAAAATACTTGATTCTCATAGTAATAGAGTGTCATCCAGCAAGACTGCAGAAAAATCAAAACTTACTAATACTGCTTAAACCTTGAAAATGAATAATTGAGAAAGAAGTGCAAGATTCAGGCGTTATGAACATTTTAGATTTTGTTTTGTTTGAGACACCTGTCTTTTTGAATGGATTAATGGCAGTATCTGGCTTCATTTTGGAAATATCAAATTAGATGCTACTTTGCCATTAATAAGCAGTGCGTGAAAAGTGCAATACTTGAACAACCGTTTTGTGAGATTTGTGTGGCGGTCTTGATAGTCCTGAGCCAGGTTGATCCGCAATACTCCAGGGCGCTGCTGGTGACAGACCAGCAAGCCTAAATCAACAGCAGGACCTGAAGGGGAAGACTGCAGGCAGAGATTCTTCCCATTCGGTTCCTGTTAAGCTAAAGCTCTAATGGGAGGATAGTCCTAACTGGACAGGCATCGAGTAGCTTGCCAGACAGTGCTTTCATTGACATGCTGTATGATTTTAGTTAATGTATGCATAAACATTAGTTTATTACAAGGTGCTAACACATACAAATCTCCCAGGGGGACTTACAAGCACATTCAAGCATCTCTGAAAAAAAAACACATTTTAGCAGGGTGAATACAAAATTCAGCTGTAGAAGATAAAAATAGGAGCCACGTTTAGTCTATTGACAGGTTAGAACTTTAGAAAGTTAGAACCAAGGGTGAAGTTGAAAGAAACAGGGTTGTGAGTAGATTCCATGCTCATTATGTCCAAACAGTGTGACCCAGAAATAAACAAGACCAACAGGTTGCTTTGGTCTTATTTGATTTGATCTGATTTGAGTTCAGATTCCCAGATGGCAATACTCAGGTCAGGCTGCACTTGATGTGATGCATATGTTACAGTAAAGTTGTGAAACCAGGGATTTCATGAAATCTCTGAAATTTTCAGTAAAATTGTGAAACCATGAAATCATTGAACTTAGGAGTCAGAAGTACCAGCTGACAATCACCCACCTCAAGTAACCCCGCTACAGAAGCTTCAATCCCACCACTGAGTGACAGTGATGGGGCTACACACACTGCCTAACCCACCTCTTTTTCAGCTAGCACTTCTGCAGGACAACCCAGTCCAATCGAGGTCATCGAAACACCCACTACCAATGCACCTGTTTCTCCAGTCTCCGGTGCCACAGCCCCACCACAGCCTAGCCCTGTAGTCTCCATGTCCTCTATGGTAGAGATGTCCAGTGATCCTCCTATACAGACTCCTATTTCAAAAGTCCTGGAGATCACATGACCCAGATCAGAAAGAGAAGAGCTGCTACACACATGGCACAAGTATCCCAGGAGACAGGATGGTAAAGCAGAATCGGCTGGGTCTCCAAGCTGCTACACCTGGAGACAACGTGGCTGTCCCCATCACAGCAGTGGTCAGGGGTAGAGGGGATACCAGGGACATCCTTGGTGTTATCATTAATAGAGATTTAGTACAAGGTAGCAAGGTAGCAGTAAAGGCTGGCATCCTGAGAGGTCACTATTGCAAGGACCAATTTGACCTCTTCGCACAACGTTGTTAACAGAGCCTGCGCCAAACAGGAGAAGTCAGTGTCACTCTGTGAAGCTATCATTGCACCACTGTTTGTGATGGACAAGGCTTTACAAAGTGTAACTGCAGTCAGAAAAAATGTCAGACCAACAATTGTAAATGCTTCAAAGCAAAGCTAAAGTATAACTCCCAGTTGCATGGAAGCCTCAGTTGTATTAACAGATGAATATTTGACTCATCAGTGAATGAAATGTCGCATGAAGTTTATGGCAAATAAAATATGAATTTTCATAACGTATTATTTATTTGATGATAATTAAGTGTCAAGACAAGGTTATCAACATGATGAAATGATCACTCTTACACAAAATCTCTAACTCCTAATTTTAGTGATTTCATGGTTTCACAATTTTACTGAAAATTTCAGAGATTTCACAACTTTACTGTAACAGATACGGCTTTGGCCACTGCAAAATAAGTGTAACATCCTGCTGAGTAGAGTGGTGGAAGCGGAGTGCTTTGTAGTTTTCAAGAGGGAAGTAGATGGGTATATGAAGGAGAGGATCTTTAAAGGGTATGGGGATAAGGCAGGATGGTGGAATTGAAGTGATCTCCTTGTTCTGTTCGGGTGGACGTTAAAGATCTCCTGTGGCGCTGCTGGGAAAAGATACAGAAAGTTTCCTGTTGTTCTGGCTGACAATTGCCCTCCCCACTCACCCCTTGATAAAATTTCATCCACTTCAGGCCCCACTGCTGTGGGATGTTGCTGTGCGCAAATTGGCTGCTGAGTTCAATGACAAACCTGGTCACTGCAACACTTGACATTAGGCCCTGAATCAGATTATTATTATTATTTTAAATGTTGACACGACTGTTTGTGGGACACTGATGTGCGCAATTGGCTGCTGTGTTTCGCCCACAAAGTACACAGTCAATTCACTTTACTGCATATCCTGTGAAGCGTTTTGAACTGTCTAAATGATGTGATAAGGTACTATATCAAATGCAAGAACTGTTGTTTTTGGTGCAGACTTGATGGGCCAAATGGCCTCCTCCGTTACAGATTTCTATATATCTATGAGATCGCTTGCTCTTCTAGAGGTAATGCAGAGGCTGTTACCCATTGTTAGAGGAATAAACTATAAGAAATCATTAGATAACTTTGTGTGTTAACCTGGATCAGTTGGTAGCGCACTCACCACTATGTCAGAAGTTTGGGAATTCAAGCCCCATATCAGGACTTGGAACTTGTATGGTCTAGGCCGACTCTCCAATGTTGCTGGGGGAGTACTGCATTGTTGGAGGTGTCGTCCTTCAGATAAGATGTTAAACCCAGCTCCCATCTACCTATTCAGGTGGCACTATTTGAAAGTGAGTTTCTCCTGGAATCGGTCAACAATTTGCCAAACAAAATTGATAATTTGCTCATAGCTGTTTCCAGAACATAGCACAAATTGGCCATGGTTGACCACAAAGCAGTTACTCCTGAGCATATCCTGTGAAGCATTTTGAGAATTTCTCCTGATAGAAAAGGCTGTGTACCAGACATAAGGACTATTATACAAATTTAAAGATGTATATGCTTAATGTGACCATATAATGAATGTACTCAATAGAATTATATTATTATATCATTAGCATGCTGTATTTCTTAGTGACATTTTATTACAATTTACTTTCAGGATTGTTTCAAAATCTCTTTATATTTTATGTCCTGCATTGAAAATGACAAGATTAACAACTTCCTCAGTACATGTCAAAAAGATGTATGTGCTTGTCAAAATACTAGACAGTGTGCATGTGCTAATTTTGAAGAATTAGCGCGTCAATGTAGAAACTCGGATGATAGTTTGTGGAAAACATGGCGAGAAACTACAAATTGTTGTAAGTTAACTAGCATTTAAATTAGACTCCTAACTATATATTTTTTCAGTTATATTTTGCTGTTCACGATGATTTGTGGATGTGGAGTCCTGTAGCTCAGTGGTTAGAGCACTCGCTTTGCGAGCGAGAGACCTGAGTTCAATTCCAGGCAGGGCGAAACCTTGGGCAAGTTTCCTTACTCCACACAGAGCCTAATAATAATCCCTCCAAAACCAAAAACAATAATTAAATTGGTCATCTTCAATCTACGACTGTTTGTGGGACATTGCTGTGCGCAATTGGCTGCTGCATTCGCCCACAAATATACAGTCAATTCACTTTACAGTGTGTTCTGTGAAGCGCTTTGGGACGTCCTCCTGACATGAAAAGCGCTATATCAAATGCAAGGATTATTATTATTATTATTTTCCAGGTCAAAATCTAAAAGCTACATTTCCATTTTAGCATCTCCCACTTGTCCTGAAAATCAAATTTACAAGGAATGTGGTTCTGCTTGTATTGCAACATGTTCTGATCCTAAATCTCAACCTGGTTGTGATCATTGTGTAAATACCTGTGATTGTCCAGAAGGTAATTATAATTTATAGATTTATATGGTCTTACTATCCTTTATATCAATAAAATATGTTTTCTTATATATCATTTTAAAATATATTAGATGATTATTTTCTAGAAGTCATAACTTATTGTCCCATTTAGGTACTGCTTGCTATTTTTGTAAGGGATTCTGTAATCAGAGTAGCTTAAGCACATTGTTATCTGGGGAACAAATACATTTTTTTATCCGGAAAAAAATGTGAGCTATTGGTAAATTTCTAAGCATTGGTGGATTTCCATCGGATAGGAAGCAAACGTATCACATTGCCATTATACGTCAATATTTGCGGTTCCATAAAATTCTACCCCATCTTATGACAGGATGTGATTGTCAGTGAGTGCTTGCTCCTCGTGACTGCACCAATCACATGAAAGGTGATGTCATGGTCCAGAAAGTGAAATCACCAGTGAGTGATTGTGACTTTTTGGGCATATAGGAAGCCAGACAATTATTTGTTTTTGAAAAAGTATTGCAACATGAATAGATAAATGTCAAGATAAAAGAGGTACACTTGTTGTAAGTAGACTTACTTCCATATTTATTTCAATGTGCTTCAGGCACTGTTCTGGATAACATAAGAGGCACAAACAAATGCATCAGCAAAAACGAATGTCCATGTGAATATAGCAGAAGGATTTATGAATCCGGAGAATCAAGAAATACTTCCTGTCACTCATGGTAAGTGCCCTAATTTAGAGTATCCATGTTTGATTGATTTCAACTTTTAAAACAAAAATGATTGAATAATTAATGTGTTTTTGTATGTTTCAGCACCTGTCAAAGTGGGCAGTGGGATTGCTTCAGTCTTAATTGTCCTGGAATGTGTAAAATAGAGGAAGGATCCCATATTACGACATTTGATGGCAAATATTATAAGTTAAATGGAAATTGTTCATACTATGCTATTTTTGTATGTGAAGTATTTCAAAATTGATTACTTTTTGTGACTTGAATTATAGCTATTCAATTTTAGAAGTTAATGTCTATGTTGATATTGTTTTTCAGTGTTACATTTTAATTTGTCTTCACAGACTGAACACTGGTCAGTGATAGTTAAAATACAGCTTTGTCAACCCCTGCATAATCAGATATGTTTAGAGAGTGTCAAAATTACAAAATCGCAGGTAAATATTTTGTAATATTATTTGTGTGCATTTTCCAGTTTAATCTTTAAAATTCTATATGAAAATATATTTTTCTCTTTTATAGAATGAATACACATTTGACAAATATGGCACCGTTTACTACAATGGAATTAAAACAGAAATTATGCGAGCAGATGGTAAAAGTAATTTCAATTTATTTATCGGTCAATCAATAGTTAACATTTATGTAACTTGTCTTTTCATTTTCAACAGATGATATTACAATATTTCAACAGTCTTCAATGTATCTTCAAGCAATAACATCATTTGGGCTACAAATGCATTTGCAGATTTTACCTATCATGCAGCTTTACATCACACTACCTGAAGATGCCAAAGAAAACACAAGCACACAAGGTAGGGCTTGAAATGCATTTAATTGCAAATGCATGCATTGACTGCCAGGTGCAATGAATTGCTGATGAAAACAAATTGTTAAAGGTGTTGAAACAGAGAATGTAATCTGCAATATTTATAGTCAACTGAGTCAGATTGTTGCTGATATTAAATTAGCAAGAAAAAGTGCATTCTTTTAATGACTTTTTTATTTTCCAGGATTATGTGGCACCTTCAATGGTAACGCCGATGACGATTTTCTATCTATGCAGAGGGTTGTGGAAAATACGCATGTTGCTTTCACTGATACTTGGAAGACTATTACTGATTGTCCAAATCCAAATGTGATTTCTACTTGCTTAAGCATAGACAGCGGTAATAATTGTACTTGTATCTTTTATATTTATCTTCAGAAAGTGTGCTTATGTGGGGTTTCAACTAGTCCATCCAGTGAGGTTTTCATTTGAAGGTATCCAACGGATTTTATTGGAATTCCTAAAAGACATGAATAAAAGTCCATATTTAAACTATATAAAATTAATGAAAGTTGGCAAGCTCAAATGAAAATTGTCTTACGAGTAAAATAGAATTATCCAGGGCAATGTGAAGCTATTATCATTAGATTCAAGAATACGTTACAAGGGCATTTTATTTCAAATCAAAATATGTTATTCTAGCCCTGTGTAGCTCACTGGACACCCTAACTTCAAAAGGGCAGTGACATATTGGTCCCAGTTGAAATGAGAAGACTTAAAGTTTAAGTTATAAATAGAAACTCACAAGAGCTAAATTTGTATTCTTTGGAGAACAAAAGATTGGAAAAACAATTCAAATCTTTAAAATTCTGAAAACTTGGCTAATATTTATTTAAATTTTAGCACGCCACTACTTCAAGTGATTCAGCATAGATCACAGGTCCAACTTGAACCCCTCTTTGTCTGTTTGGCCTGATCATATACATTTATTGGAGTGTTGCTAAAATATTTTCTAACATAATATTTTTCTTTTAGCATTAAAAATAATTGCATCTTAAATTTGCCTTGCAGAATTCTACGCCAAATCGCAATGTGCCTACTTAAAAGATGTTTCATCTGTTTTTGGTGTGTGTCATCCAGTCGTGGATGTTGACAAATACTATGAAGTAAGAAATCTGGATAAGCCTTCACAAGTGAACATGTTTTTAATCAAAATTTGATGTGGAAATTGTATTCAGTTATACTGGGATGATAATGTACAGTTTGTTCCTGGAAATGTATTCATTTTACTGTTCGAGTCCTCATCAAGCTCAAGCTCAGGAAAGATATATTACTACTGGAGAGGATACAGTGCAGATTCATCAAAATCATAATAGGGCTTAATGGGTTAAATTGTGTGGACAGGTTGCATAAACTTGGTCTGTATTCCCTTAAATTAAGAAGATTATCATAGAATTATATAACACAGAAGGAGACCATTTGGCCCATCGTGTCTGTGCCAGCTCTTTGAAAACAGCTATCCAAATCAATCCCACTCCCTCTATTTTGCTTACAAATCTCTTGTGTGCGCTTTAGCAAACACCTTTTGAAAATCCATATAAACTACGTCAATTCCACTACCTTCATCCATACTCTCCGTTACTTCATCAAAAACTCTATCAGGTTTGTTAGACACGACTTGCCTTTAACAAATCCGTTTTGGCTGTCCTTTTATGAGTGAAAATTTATTTTGTCCTGAATTATAGTCTCTAGAGGTTTCCCCACTACTGATGTTAGGCTGACTGGCCTGTACTTCCCGAGTTTATCCTTCTGCCCCTTTTTGTACAGGAGAGTAACATTTGAAACCCTCCAGTCCTTTGGCACCCCTCCATTATTCAAGGAGGATTGAGGCCAGAGCCTCCGCTATTTCCACTCTTGCTTCCCTCAGTAACCTAGAATGCAACCCATCTGGACCGGGTGACTATCTACCTTGAGCACCATCAACCTTTGTAGTACCTCCTCTCTGTTTATTCTTATCCAATTTCTCAGCCCTCTTATAAAATACCTATTGGTTCCCTTTCATGTTACCCACTAATCTTTTCTCATACAATCTCTTTGCCCCTCTTATTTCCTTTTTCAGTTCTCCTTTGTATGTTCTATATTCTATTTGATTTAAGAGCTCTGAGATGCTACCCTGTGTGGGTAGCATCTCTTACGTTCCTATGCTCCTAAACTTAGTTGACTTCAAGCATACTAAACCTGCATTCCCCCTTCATATAAAGTTTGAATAAAGTTTGAGGCACAATTGTGATAAACACATAAGTAGTTTATTCAACTATAAGAAAATCATATATTTCTTCTGGTATACAGAATGAGGAAGAATCAAGATGCCAATTTTTAAGATTATACCATGCTGTCTATTCTGTATCTTAATACACAATCTCATATCTCTTCTTCAGCCTCATTATGGTAAATTGCTTATTCTTAATCCAGAAAATAACCATGATTTTAGGAACAAGTAAGGCAGTTTGAGCAAAACTCTCTCCTGATCCCTCCCAGAAGCCTGTGTCAACATTTTTTAGCATGCCGATAATGCTTTGATATTACTCTGATATTTTGGAAGTTTGATGAATACATATTCCATGACAGGAACTAATTTTGATCTTTATGTTTATAAAATGTTTGTCTAAATATTGACGTTGCTCACAGTCTGACATATGAATGCCTTTGCTTTTAGCAATATTGTTCAAAACATTGATAACTGTATTGATACCTCCTCAATCTCCAATCCACTACCCGGTGCCTCCGCTTAACTGCCATCAGCCTCCTGCTCGTCCCTTGCACCCTCCGTCCCACCATCGGAGGTCGCTCTTTCAGCCACTATGCCCCGAAACTCTGGAATACTCTCCCTCAATCCCTCTGTCTTGCCCCATCTCTCTCCTTTTTCAAGTCCCGTCTGAAAACCTTCCTCTTCAGCCGTGCTTACAGCTACCTCCACTGCCCGAACTCAGAGTCAGGCTCCATCACTGTTAAGCGCTCTGAGACGCTACCCTGCATGGAGGGCGCAATATAAGTTCAAGTTGTTGTTTTTCTCTTGCAAGGATGTATATGTTAATAATATACATTGCATACTATTTCACCTGTAATTGATAGATTCCTTATTGGCGTAAGGACGTAGCTAATGTCCTTAAAGACTCAATTTTGCATCCTTTCTTCTCTCAAAGAAATTTGGAAACAATGTATCCATTGTGACTTGAATCTGCATAGTGAACTTGTAAATGTGATCATAACTGATTATGTGTACCCACTCCTGTACCTCTCATTTCACTAAGAATACTTTAAAAATGAGAAATTAGAGTGAAAAAATTGTTGTGTGATATGATAATTATCACAAAATAGGGCATTGCATTCCTGGAGATGCCTTTCTCAATAATTGTTGCAAGGGAATCCCACCTTTACTTTTTTAAATTGTTTAGCTAAAAAAACTCATTGCAGCCATTGAGCCACCAGGCAATACTTTTGATTTTGCTACCCCACAGATCCTAGCATTTTACTGCTAGTTCAGGGAACACTAGCTTATCTTAAGTTGATATTTGGAGAAAATGGGGTGTTCACCCGAATCACATTTCAACTGGGAGAACTGCAGAAATGTTCCAAGATTGGCTGTTTAATAATATATTTGTGCTGTGTTTTAGATGTGCAAGGCTGTTGCCTGTAGCTGTCAGAACATTGATGACTGCATCTGTGCTGCAATGGGAGCATATGCTCATGAATGTGCTAAAAATAATGTGATCATGTACAACTGGAGAAGTAAAATTTGTGGTATGTTGTGATCTATGTGTGACCAATTATAAATGAAAGAGCATGTTTTCAGTTTTGTCACAAGCTCAGATTTTTGAACCATAAATTAGCTATCCTTTCAGAACCAATTCTTAAGTGATTTGTTCAGAACACGTAAGTTGTACTTTTACATGTAAATCTACTGTTACATTCCCCATCATTACCTCACCCTCTCTTTAATTTCTGAAATTTCCTTTCACTTTCTGGTATCGTTAAATTATGTCCCAGTGAAACCATATTCTTAAAGCAATCTATGAATTGGGATCCCATGGCACTATTCAAAAAGAATAGGGGGTTCCTCAGGGTGTCATTGCTCTGAACAAATTGGCTGCAAATATATAGTTACTATAATTTGCAGTATAATCCTATAAGGAGCTTTGAGACGTTTCAATGACAAGGCACTATATGAAATATAACGATTACCATTGTTGTTGATTAGTATTGTTGTCAACAGGGGCACTGAGTTCAGTTTAAGCCTTTAGTTATTGATTGTAAATTGTTATGTTTTTCATAACAGTGGCGTTACTAACATAATTTTGATATCCTTCCTTCATGAAAGAAAGTGACTGGAGTTTCCAGTATCTTGGAGAAATTACGTTTTTGTTTACTTCGTAATCAAAATATTTTAGAATCTATTAATGTTAATGAAACAAAAGGAAATTTTGGATTTAATTAGGATGGATTATTTAAATAACGTGGGTTTTTTGTAATGAACTTCTTAATTAACATCAAGATAAAAATATATTTGGAACTCTTTTTAAAAGAATATATCCACCAAACATTTATTTATTATATTATATTTGTTCCTAGGTGTAAGCTGTCCTGACACTCAGGTTTTTCAATATGATATGAAGGCCTGTAATCATTCCTGCAGATCATTGTCAGAACCAGATTTAACCTGCAAAGCTGATGATGTTCCACTTGAAGGTTGTGGTTGCCCTAAAGGACTCTACATGAATAAGAAAGGAGCCTGTGTTAATAGATCAGATTGCTCATGCATTGTTGCTGGCTTGGTTGTTGAAAGTAAAGAAAGTGTTGGAGTAAATGGAACAACTTGGTGAGTATGTTATTTCTGCTCTACAAAATTTGAACAGAACAGCTAAAGGCGCAAGGCTAAAACGTATGACTTTTCAAATGTTCAATTTGATGACTGTGTAGTAATGTGTAGTCTTTGAGACTTGAAGGCTGATTGGTAAAAAAAATATTATTTGGCTGGAGCAGATCACGGATTGTGCACTCTTTAACAGATCAAGCCTAGAAAATAAATATTAAATAAAAANTAATTACAATGCATTCTAGTGACTATAATTTGCAAACTATGCTTCTATGAACTCTAAGATGACAGTCTCAAAGAGTCCACTTGCCTGGAAGTTTGTGTTGCCAACTAGTGGTAATTTAATGTGAAACACTAAAAACCTCTTATTCTGTTGTGTTAATTAACACCGACGATAGTTGTCACGTGGCATTAATTACCACAAGAGCAATCAAAAAGTCATAAATTTTACAGCTTATAACTGTAACATTATTCATCTTAATTGTTTCTTCAGCTATTGTATCAATGGAGTGCCTGATTGCCATACTACAAGTAGCCAACCAGGTGAAGTATTTTTTAAGTCTCGTTCAAAGAAACTGGGTGAATCTTCATTCAAATGAAAACATTTTAAATTCTTCATAAAATACTATTTTCTTTTAGACTGCATTGAAAAGCTATTTATGGACTGTAGTGTTGTTGGCTTATGTAGGAAAACCTGCCGAACGCTAAAGACACCATGTGTAAGTTACTGCTTGTTATTGCCAACCAGTTTAACAGAAATATAAAAAACAGAATTTGATTGAATGTTATAATTATTGCCAGTGATAATTATAATGACCAAAAAATTGCGATCCAAACTGTTCTTAGCAATAGATGGGTTTGCGGGTGAACATTCTCAGGAGTTGGAATATAATTTGAATATAACTGTAATTTATAATGGTTTTATTTTTACTCTTCATTTTGGACAGTACCTTAACTCAACTGGGTTCCTTTGAAGGCGATGTCAAACAATTGACTCTAGATTTAGAATAAGAATTGGGCTTCATTATCGCAGAATAAGAAGCTGACAAAATTTAGAAGATGCCTAAACCATTTGGCCAAAGTTAAAGATTGTTCACTCCCAAACTTATCCAAAGTTAAAGATAGATTTGGATTGCAATTTTTCACAATAATTAAAATGTTGAAAATCCCACATTTCACCCCACAATTTAAGACTTACAATAAATGTGTCAGAATACAAAATACAGAGTCAATTCACTTTACAATATATTCTGTGAATCGCTTTGAGATGTCTCGAAGACGTGATAAGGTGCTATATCAAATGCAAGGATTATTATTGTAATCAATACATGTATGTTTGTTATACAGTATATCAATATGATTTCCATCACTTTGAAAGAACTAATATTATTCATTTTCCTAGCCAACTCCATGTGTACCTGGTTGCATCTGTCCCAATGGTCTTGTCGAAGACAACAATGGAAACTGCATTGCCCCTGTAGAATGCTCTTGTTCGTTTGGTGGTGAAACTTATCATTCTGGAAGCACAATTCGAAGTGATTGCAATAACTGGTGAGACAAATCAAATGTTAGAATTAAGTAAACCAAGTTAGCAAACAAAACAATGTAGCACTAATTGGATGACACAATTGGAGACAATTACACTGTATCATTTATATTCCAGCACATGCCAGGGTGGATCATGGCAATGCACTGAAAATCCATGCCCGAAGACCTGTCTTGTTTTTGGAGATGGGCATTATAGAACCTTTGATGGGAAAAGATACAACTATGATGGCAACTGTGAATATATTTTTGTTGAAGTAAGTTGCAGTTATAAATTTTTGACGTAAAATATTTTCATAGTGATAAATAAGACCCCACAAATATATAATCAATTCACTTTAGCCTGTTCCCTGGTTGGCTCCTCGGCATACTGATCCAGTTAAGTATCCCTAATACATTCTATAAACTCTTCCTCTATCATATTTTTCCCAATTTGGTTGTCCCAATCTATGTACAGATTAAAATCACCCACAATTAATGTTAGCCGTGCTCTTACAGAAACATATAAGATTCTTATGGAGCTTGACAGAGTAGACAGTGTGGAACTGTTTCCCCTGGTAGGAGAATCTATAACCAGGGTTCACAGTCTTAAGATTAAGGGTCAGCCTTTTCGAATAGAGTTGAGGAAACACTTCTTCTCTCAGAGGGTAGTGAATTTATGGAATTCACTACCCCAAAAGGCTGTAGATGCTCAGTCCTTGAACATCTTCAAGGCTGAGACTGATAGATTTTTTAAAAATAGAGGGATTAGGGGATATGGGGATAGGACAGGTAATTAGAGTTAGGTCTGAAGATCAGCCATGGTCTTATCGAATGGCGGGGCAGCTCGAGGGGCCGAATGGCCTACTCCTGATCCTAATTCTTATGTTCTTATGATTACAGTCTATTCTGTGAAGCACTTTGAGATGTCTTGAAAATGTGAAAAAGCAATTGCAAGGATTATTATTATTATTATTTATTATTTATTGTGCATGTATTTGATGATCTTTTAATGCTTATAGTTTACAAATTCAATACTTTTATATAATTAACAGCAATTTGTAAAAACTAATAGGAACTTGGAAAAACTGCACTTCTTAGTATAATGAGGTGAACATGAAAATAAACAAAAACATAGGACCACGGAGGTAGACTTTTTTAAAAAAAACACAACATTGTAGGCTTTCAATGAAAGCCCTAATTTTTTGTTTTTTAAGCTTTTATTGGATGTATGAGGAAATAAGAAGATTAAAATAATTTGTTTTTGAATAGCAGTGAATGGAGCAAGAAGAGGGATATTTTAATGAACGTAAAACATTGATGCTACCAATAATAAATTTCATACAAATTATTGTCATTTCTAATCTTACCCTGCTTAGACGAGTAGATAAGCTTGAATTTGTATCTATTGAAAAATTCTGAAATAATTTTACACGTGCTAGATTGTAGTTAAACTTTTTATAATATGCTTCATGATATGATTATACTACATTTCCTTCTAAGGGTAATTAATTAGAGAGGACAGGTCCTTATTTTATCCTTTCATGAAGCACAGAAATTGTCTCTGCCTTGGTACCTTCAAATCTACTGAAGGGTCTTTGGGTAGATCATTCCTCTTGTTCCCATAACGGAGAATCAATATTTGTATTTTTTAAAATTAAAATGTGCAGAAATGATTAATAATTAGCTGTTGCTGAAAATTGATCTGTGCCACCAGAAATAGTTTTCAGGATAATAATCAATGTTATCTCACATTTTGAGTTCACGGTGGACTCGGAGGCAATGTTCACCAAAGTCAAATACCCATTGCTAAATTATATGTATTATGATGACCTGGGCATTTGGCTTAGCAGCTTGAGATGTAATTTAATCGGAAGGCTGACACCAGGTTTAGCTTTAGCTCTTTTAGCTGGATAAAACAACTTGAACAATAATATGCACTTATTTTCTGTGAATCAGTAAGTAGAGGGCATAAGTTGAGGATTATCATCAGAGGAAAACCTAGGGATTTAGGATATGGAATGACTTGCCACAGAATTTTGTAAAAGCCAACACAATATTTGAAGGGTTTGAATGAGTACTATAAATAGAAAATATTACAGGCTGCGAGGAAAGAACAAGAACATTGTTTCAATGGGGAAGTTAGCAGTATACGATGGGCACGAGAACTGAATGGTCTCCTTCTTACTGTTCATATTGCATGATTCTATGGTCTGGCTGAGGCATCTACGATAATTTGAAAGTGTTCCATCATCCTATCTTTTTTTAATATTTAGGATGAGTGCAACCAAAAAGAAGGTACATTCCAAATACTGATAGAGAGTGTTCCATGCTGTGAAAATGGAGTGACATGTTCAAGAAACATCAGAATTATAATTGAGGTATTCAATTACGAAAATATTATAGTTATAAGTCAGCGGAAAGAAAATTAAATGTTTATTTACAGTGCCTAAAATTATACTAAGTGTGCCTATTTTTATCTTATAGGGTAAAGAATTAATAATGCTGAATGGAAATACAATAATTGAGAAGTTTCCAAATCAAACCCACTGCTCAGAGCATTCCTATTCACTTCACTCTGTTGGGCTCTATATAACTCTTACATTTTCGAATGGAATTACTATGATATGGGATAAACGTACAAGACTTTCAGTCACACTGGATCCAAAATGGAATGTAAGTGTGGATTGTTTTTGATTTGTTCATCAATACATAAAATGTATTCAGGCATTGGGAATAAATGTGAGTTCCAGTAGTATTTTTACATTTTAAGAAATGTTCAGAGTGATGCTTAAAGAGATGGATCATTCGATGCGTTTTAAAGATATGACCTAACATTATAAGGTATCAGTTATTACAGTTATTAATGATAACATTATACAAACTAGTGACTATCCTCCTGGGGTGGGGGAGGTATTGGGTGGGGGGGGCAAGGTGACATGCTTGGTTACAGAATGTTGGAATCGAGTCAGCCCTCTGTGGCGGTCTCAGAAGTCTGGTTCCTGAGCCAGCTGTTGGGGAACTGCTGTTGACAGCACAGTCAGCCTTGCTTATCGGTAGGACTTGGAAGAACAGACCAGTCATTGGGGCAGGTAAACATCTCACTCAGCTCCTATTAACCCTGCACATCAAAGCCCTAATGGATAGAGTGGTTCTAGCTGGAAAAACAGTCGCAAAACTTGTCAGACAGCAATATGCATGGCAAGCTATGCGGTTTCAGCTGATTAGGCTTCAGCAGTACCCCAATAGTATATATACACACATCATAATGAATTATTCTTATGCCAAAAACAATTCACCCAGAATGCTTCAATAGTTTGTTAATAAATCTGAATTATCATGTAAGCTTATTTATACAATATATTATTTCCTTGGATATCTGAATAAAATATAAAGCAATTATGTAATTTAAAATGATCAATTATTTTAAATTTCATTACTTTATTTAAGAACAAAATATGCGGTCTCTGTGGAAATTCCAATGGTAACGTTGAAGATGATCTAACTACAAAAGAGAACTCCTTGGTAACCAGCAGCATTGAACATGGAAATACTTGGAAGTCTATGCTGTCATGCTCCAATGTGTTAAATGACACATTTCCTTGTGACAGAAATCCATATTGTTTAGCATGGGCACAAAAGAAATGTGCCCTTCTAAAAGGTTCAGTGTTTGAACCCTGCCATTCAAAGGTGAAGCACAATATGAAATATTATATTTTTATGTTTATAAAACGTAATGTAAAGCTTATTTTGAAGTGAAATATATTCCAACAATATCCCACTTCTATTAGGTCGACTTAATGCCCTATTATGACGCTTGTGTCCAAGAGGCTTGTGCCTGTGACATGGAAGGAAAATACCTTGGTTTCTGTACCGCTGTAGCAGTATATGCAGAAGCCTGTAATAAAGAAGGTGCTTGCATTCATTGGAGAACACCGGAAATATGTCGTAAGTGCCAATTGCTATATCCACTATAAAAGTGAAGAATTGAATTTAAGAATTCATTAAATACACTTGATGGGTCAGTTATACTGCATCATGCACAAAGACCAACATGCATAAATAGAAATAAAATATTAAAGTCTTATTGCAAGCCCAAGTGTTGATCCAATGCAATAGGTCCTCCACACTAATATTGGGTTTGGACTGTGCCACCTGCTGCGCAGAGTCAAGTGGCAGTAGTGACACAAAAGCTACTGATGCAATATGTTCACCTATTGACAACAACATCAACTAGCATTTATATAGCGTTCTCATGCAGGGTAGTGTCCCAGAGTGCATGACAGCAACAGCATCATCTAATATTGGTGTAAGAAGTCATTCTCAAAGGTATTTTAGGTATTTCTCTTTCATTTTGAGCTCATCCATGAAGGCTGAACTGTCCAAAAATAGTCCAAACTTAAACCGAGCATCAGAAATAGGAGCATGACTTTTGGCAATGGTATTGCCTCTGCTTCTTCATAAGAACCTCACTAACTAACTACATAATTGAGAAGCAATAAATTTTATTGAATCTTGGGACATCCTCCTGAGCTGAAAGGCACTATACAAATGAAATTTTGTTGTTGTTGATGTAATTCAGACAGATTCAGTGGAGTCCTGTAGCTCAGTGGTTAGAGCACTCGCTTTGCAAGCGAGAGACCTGAGTTCAATTCCAGGCAGGGCGAAACCTTGGGCAAGTTTCCTTACTCCACACGCCTAATAATAATCCCTCCAAAAAAAAAAAAAAACCAACAATAAATTGGTCATTTTCAATCCACGACTGTTTGTGGGACATTGCTGTGCGCAATTGGCTGCAGCGTTCGCCCACAAATATACAGTCAATTCACTTTACAGTGTGTTCTGTGAAGCGCTTTGGGACGTCCTCCCGACGTGAAACGCGCTATATCAAATGTGAGGATTATTATTATTATTATTCAATCTCTTTCCCTAACATGGGAGTGCAATGCTCCAGGATTGCGATCAATTTGTTTCATATTATAACATATTTAACATGGATTGCAGAATTTATATTTACTTTAAAAAATCCTGAAACAACTGAAACTGCTGGTGATCTCATAACAACCATTTCTATTTTCATTGCAGCTGTATTTTGTGACTATTATAATGATCCTGATGAATGCAGCTGGCACTATAAACCATGTGGGACTATAACGTCAAAAACATGCAGCGACCATTACATCGGCAAGAAGTTCTCTGCAATACTCGAAGGTTGCATTTGAAGTGTAATCATTGTATCTTCTAATAGAATTTCTGCTCAATATATATTAGTGTTTATTTCCAAATATTTAACATTGTTTAGATTCAGATTATTGTCTAATGAGTAGAATCAGTGGATAAAGTAACCTGTGTTAAAATACCCGTTGCTGCACAATTAATATTCCTTGCACTTTTATAAAACATGAAAAACAATAGTCAACAAAATTCAGTTTGAACCTGCTCTCTCCTTGAACTACATAAAATGTTTTGCCCACAAATATAGTCAATTCACTTTACTGTATATTCTGTGCGCTTTGAGACGTCTAGAAGTTGTGAAAAGCGCTATATCAAATGCAAGGATTATTATTATTATATTCTCTTTAATGGACTGGATGCAAACCACAATGTTTCTAGTGGGTATGATCCCCAGAAAGACTCCATGAACTCAAAGGCACTCAAGCAAAACATTTTCCCTTCTCCACTATTCAAACCAAGCCATTTTCCCTTCATGGAAAACATGAAAATCATTAGATCCTGAGCAACATCAAATGATTATATTGAGATTCTGTTGTGTGTGTATATTACATAGCTCTGTGAATGGGTAGATAGATCTTCATTGATTTTCTACATGTGTTTTTTCTTGTTCAGATATTCATTACCTTGCAATTGTCTACATTAAAATTAATCTGCTGTTTTACCAACTGTTCAATTGATGCAGATTTCCTGGTGTGCTATTTATTCATTGGTTCCTTTTTGATCAGTCCAGTTATGGAATATATTGTTTTAATAGCTAGTGCCTATAATTTGGTTTACCTTAACCTTTAAGAGCCTCTGGGTTGGAAGGTTATGGTTCAAGGCCCACTTTGGGGTTTTGAGTCCATAGTCTATATCGGGGATGGACAACATGCAGCCTAACAGGCTGAAAATTGGCCATCCCAGCTCTTGACTGACACTTCACCTGCCTGTTCAGGTGGAAGCTAAAGCTTCCACAGCACTATTCGAAAAGAGAAGAGAGTTTCTTCCGGTGTCCTAGTTAACAATTCTCCATGAAATTTGTGGGACATTGCTATGTCTATTCATCTATAAATACAATTTACAGAAATGCTTGAGACAGTCTCGATGATTTATGTATTATGACAAGTGCAAGGATTATTTATTATTAGTTCTTATTTATTATTAGTTATTTTAAGAACAGCAGAAAACACATTCCAGATTAAGAACGAATAAAAGAATTTTTAATGTTCAGGCAAAATGTTCTCACAAGCCAAGGTTTGGAACTTCGGGCTTCGGAAGAGTTTATTCTCCATACCTTACAATGATTTTGTTTTTTTTTATTACAGGTTGCTATGCAAAATGCCCAGAGAATGCTCCTTATTTGGATGAAAACATAATGAAGTGTGTTAATTTATCTGACTGTTCTTGTTATTACAATGGACAAATACTGCAACCAGGTGAAACAACAAAGAATGATTGTGAAGAATGGTAAAGTATCCATAGTAAATAATGCAGCTTATTGTTTCTTATAATCTTAGGATGCAAGAACTCTGCTCTAAAAAGTTACATTTCTGGATGTATGTGAGCAGATTTCTTATAGGCTGGGGTGACACATGTGGAGTCCTATAGCTCAGTGGTTAGAGCACTCGCCTCTCAAGCGAGAGACCTGGGTTCGATTCCCGGCAGGGCGAAACCTTAGGCAAGCTTCCATACTCCACATGCCTGATAATAATCCCTCAAGGAAAAAAANTTATAATTTGGTCACTTCAATCCATGACTGCTTGTGGGACACTGCTGTGCGCAATTGGCTGCTGTGTTTCGCCCACAAATAAAAAATGCAGTCAATTCACTTTACAGTATATTCTGTGAAGCACTTTGAGACGTCTGGAAGACGTGAAAAATTCTATATCAAATTCAAGGATTATTATTATTATGTTGGTTTTCTGGCAGAACTTGTTATTTGCAACTTCCTTTTTGAATATTGCGTTTCAGAATGTTCCTTAAATAAAATATCCAAGTTGCTAAAATCGTTTAGGTCGAGGTTTATATTTTGAATGACATTCATTGAATTTGTATCAGAATTTGGGCAAACCAAATTTTTCATAATTCCTAATGTTGTCTGCCATCAGATATGAAACATTATCTTGTACTGTAAATATGTCACAAGGCAATCAGATATTCTCGGACTAGAACTTTTTGTACATTTCTTCATCATGTTCGTCTTTGGCATAGTTCTTAGATTATCAATCAATCAAAATTTCATTTGTATAGCGCCTTTGACATCGGGAGGCGCTGGACAATCAGTGTTTCGGAACTGAGCTGTGGGTTGGGATCGGGGAGTGTGGAGGGCAGGGGGTAAGGAGGATGACCAAAGGCATGGTTGAAGAAGACAATCTTGAGACGGGTCTTGAAGGAGGCAAGGGAGGGGATGAAGTGGAGAGACTGTGGGATAAAGTTCCAGAGGGTGGGGGCAGAGTGGCTGAAGCCTGCCCACCAATAGTGGGGTGGACGAGGCATGTGAAGTAGGCCTGAGCCTGCTGAGCAGAGGGTGCGGGCAGGTTGGTAGGGGGTTAGGGAATCACAGAGGTAGGGGGGGAGCAAGGCCATGGAGGGTTTTGAAAGTGAGGACCAGTATCTTGAACTATATTCTCTGTGGGATGGAAAGCCAGTAGAGTTGGGCAAGGATAGGGGTGATAGGGTCATGGAGCCTGGTGTGGAAGAGGACACGGGATGCAGAGTCCTGGATGATCTGCAGCCTATGGAGGGAGGGGTTGGGGCGGCCGACAAGCAGGGAATTTGCATAGTCGAGGTTCCAAATCGGCTCTGTGAGATGTAGAATGATTCCATGGAGGGAGATGCTGTCAGCACCTGAGGAATGGAGGCGCTGACGGGAGCAAGCAGGAGGGCCTCGGTCTTGTTGACATTCAACTGCAGGAAGTTATTTCTCATCCAGGATTAGATGTCTGACAGGCAGTCTGTGAGGAAGGCAATGGACCTGGAATTGAGGGTGGTGGCAGAGTGATAGAGTTGGATGTCATCTGCATACTTGTGGAAGTTGACCCCATGTCTGTGGATGATGTCACCAGTTAGCTGCAGTTTTTTTATACCAGCAGAAATTTTAATTAAATTACTCTTTTAGATAAAGTACATTTTTGCTACCCTGCTCCGCAAAAGACTAAGATGACTTGTTTTTACAGCATTTGCACGAATGGAAAGCCTGAATGTGGAGGTAAGTATTTTTTTTACTATTTACGGTATAATAAGCCTTCATATGTTATAGTGTGGTGCTTGCCATGTTAACTTTGCTACATCATGATATCAATACAAAATTACATTTGTTTAGCGCCTTTTATGTCAGGAGGATGTCCTAAGGTGCCTGACAGTCAGGGATTTGGACCCGAGCAAGTGGGTTGGAATCATGGAGGGTAGGAGGATTACTGAAGGCATGTTCTAAAATGAGGGTCTTGAGATGTCGCTTGAATAGCAGAGAACTCAATGGAGTGACATGGAAACAGAATGAGAAGGAATTGGGTGCAGAGGGGTTGTTGGGGGTGTTGGGGAATTGGGGGGAATAGGGGGTGTTGGGGGGGAATTGGGGGCACGGGGGAGGGGGGAGGGGCGCAGAGGGGGAGGTGGGCGCAGAGGGGGAATTTAGGGCCAGAGGAGGATTTGGGGGTGCCGGAGAGGGAATTAGGTGCAGAGGGGGAATTGGGCGGACAGTGGGAATTGGGTGCAGAGGGGGAATTAGGCACAGAAGAGGCTTTGGGTGCAGTGTGGGCGTTAGGCGCAGAGGGGGAGTTAGGGGGAATTGGGGAGAGGGAATGTTGTGTGAAGAAGGGGTGTTGGGAGAAGCGGGGCGTTGAGTGCAGAGGGTGCGTTTGGTGAGAGGGGTCGTTGGCGAGAAGGGGCATTGGGTGAGAAGGGGCGTCGGATGAGATGGGGCGTCGGGCGAGCGGGGACGTCAGGTGCAAAGGGTGACTTGGGCACAGTGGTGGGGTTGGTGAGCATGGGAATTGGGCGCCTAGTGGGAGTTAGGCACAGAGTGGGCTATGGGTGCAGCGGGGGCATTGGGCGCAGAAGGTGTGTTGGGTGCAGACATGGCAAGGGAGGCATTGGGCGAGAGAGGGTGTTGGGCAAGGGGTGGTGTTGGGTGAGGGTGTTGTTGGGTGAGAGGGGGCGTTGGGCGAGAGGGGTCTTCGGGCGAGAGGGTTTGGGCGCGGAGGGGAAGTTAGGCGCAGTGATGGAGTTGAGTGAGTGGGTGAGTTGGGTGCAGAGGGGGCGTGGTGCACAGAGGGGCATTGTGTGCAGAGGGGGCATTGTGTGCAGAGGGGGCGTTGTGCGCAGAGGGGGCGTTGTGCGCAGAGGGGGCGTTGTGCGCAGAGGGGGCGTTGTGCACAGAGGAGACGTTGTGCGCAGAGGGGGCGTTGTGCGCATAGGGGGCGTTGTGCGCATAGGGGGCGTTGTGCGCAGAGGGGGCATTGTGCGCAGAGGGGGCGTTGTGTGCCTAGGGTGAGTTGGGTACAGAGTGGGCTTCGGGGTAGAGGAGGTGTTGGGCGCAGTGAAAACATTGGGCGAGAGGGGGCGTTGGGCGAGAGGAGTGTTGAGCGAGAGGGGGCGTTGGGCACAGAGGTGGCATTGGCGCAGAGGGCTGTGTTCGGTGCAGAGGGGACGTTGGGTGAGCTGGGGCGATGGGCGAGCGGGGGCGTTGGGCGAGAGGGGATGTTGGGCGAGCGAGGGCATTCGGCGAGAGGGGACATTGGGCGAGTGAGGATGTTGGGCGGAGGGGACGTTGAGCGAGCGAGGGCGTTGGGTGAGCGGGGGCGTTGGGGGAGGGGGAATTGAGTGCAGAGTGGGAATTGGGCACAGAAAGGGTATTGGGTGCAGAGGAGGAGTTGGGCGAGAGGGGGCATTGGGTGAGAAGGGGCATCGGGCGATAGCAGCCATAGGACGAGAGGAGGCGTCGGGCGAGAGGGGGTTGGGTGTGGAGGGGAATTTAGGCGCAGTGGTGGAGTTGAGCGAGTGGGTGAGTTGGGCGCAGAAGGGGCGTTGTGCGCAGAGGGGGCGTTGTGCGCAGAGGGGGCGTTGTGCGCAGAGGGTGCGTTGTGCGCCTAGGGTGAGTTGGGCACAGAGTGGGCTTCGGGCGTAGAGGAGGTGTTGGGCGCAGTAGAAGCATTGGGCGAGAGGGGGCGTTGGGCGAGAGGAATGTTGAGCGAGAGGGGGCGTTGTGCGCAGAGGGGTTGTTCGGTGCAGAGAGGACGTTGGGCGAGCTGGGTCGATGGGCAAGCGGGGACGTTGGGCGAGAGGGGATGTTGGGCGAGCGAAGGCGTGGGCGAGAGGGGACGTTGGGCGAGTGAGGATGTTGGGCGAGAGGGGACGTTGGGTGAGTGAGGGCATTGGGTGAGCGGGGGCGTTGGGGGAGGGGGAATTGAGCGCAGAGTGGGAATTGGGCACAGAAAGGGTATTGGGCGCAGAGGGGTCGTTGGGTGCAGAGGAAGCGTTGGGCGCAGAGTACGTATTGGGCGCGTTGGGTGAGAGGGAGCGTTGGGCTGAGAGGGGTCAACGGATGAGAGGGTGCGGAAACGGTAAATAGGGCTGTGGCAAAAGCTTTAAACTAATAAGGTGGGGGAGGGATCAGAAGGAAATTACATAAACCCAAATCTAAATGAAATGGGAGATCAGAGTATAGGTCAGACAAAAACTAAGGAATAAGGAGAACATAAATGGTCAGGGAATTAATACAATTATAGAACAGAAGCGTGAAAAACCTGTCAAAATTAAACTGTCTGTACAGCAGTGTACACAACATTCAAAATAAAACAGGAGAACTAGAGGTAATAATTCGTAGTGAGGAACCAGATATAGCAGGGTTCACTGAAACATGGCTACAGAAAGAACAGGACTGGCCATTAAACATTGCAGCGTATAACATATTTAGAAAGGATAGAGACAGGAAAAAGGGTAGTGGAGTTGCTGTACTTATTAGGGATAACATCATGGCAGTAGAAAAAAGGGACATAGCTATCAATAAAATAGAAACAGAATCTGTGTGACTAGAGATAAAAAGATAAGAAGAGATCAATCACACAAATAGGGTTACTCTACAGACTACCTAATAGTGGAAGGGAGGTAGAGGAAGAAATATGCAAGCAAATTAGGGAAATGAGTAAGAGACAAAGAGTAATCATGGGGGATTTCAACTAATTGGCTAGAAGTAAGTAAGTAAAGGTGATAAGGGAATGGCATTCCTTCAAATGTGTACAGGACTCTTCTTACCCAGTATGTAAGAGGCCCAACAAGGAAGAATCACTACTGGATTCAGTAATGGGAAATGAACCGGAACAGATAAGAGAAGTAAGAATAGGGGAACAGCTAGGCAATAGAGATCATAACTTTTTAAGGTTTAAGATAAAGATTGAGAAGGACATGAGGCCGGATGGATTGCATCCGTGTATATTAAAAGAATCTAGGGAAGAGATAGCAGAGGCACTGTTACATATATATACACTAATTCATCAGAAAAGGGAATAGTGCCAGAAGACTGGAGGTTAACTAATGTTATACCTATGTTTAACAGTGGGATAAAACAAGCCCAGGGATCTGTCAGTTTAACATTGGTGATAGGAAAGATAATGGAATCCTTACTGAAAGGTAACAGAAAAACATCTAGAAACCAAATATATATAATAAAGAATACTCAACACGGATTTCAAGAAGGAAAGTCATGCTTGACCAATCTCATTGAATTATTTGAAGAGGGAACAGAAAGAGTAGACAGGGATAATGCAGTAGACTAAATATATTTGGATTTCCAAAAGGCATTTGATAAGGTTTCGCATAATAGACTAATGAGTAAGGTCAGAGCATGTGGAGTCAGGGGAAAAGTAGCAGAATGGATAGCAAGTTGGCTATAAGACAGAAAACAGAGAGTAGGGGTGAAGGGTAGCTACTCAGACTGGCAGAGGGTGGGAAGTTCTGTTCCACAAGGATTGGTATTGGGACTACTGTTGTTCACAATATACATTAACAATTTGGACTCGAGGATCGAAAGTACAATTTCAAAATTTACAAACAAAACTAAATTGGGGGTGTAGTTAATACTGAGGAGGACTGCAACACATTACAACAACAACAACAACAAGATTCCATTTATAAAGTGCCTTTCACGTCAGGAGGACGTCCCAAGGCGCTGCACAGTTGGGTCAGGACCCGAGCAGGGGGGAAATGGTCAGGGTGAGGGGAGGGAAGGGAGGGAGCGAGGAGGAGGGAAATGGTCAGGGTGAGGGGAGGGAAGGGAGGGAGCGAGGAGGGGGGAAATGGTCAGGGTGAGGGGAGGGAAGGGAGGGAGCGAGGAGGGGGAAGAGAGTCGAGAGGGGAGCTGAAGGCTCGGTCAAAGAGAAAGGTTTTGAGACCGGCCTTGAAGGAGGAAAGGGAGGAAGCAAGGCGAAGGCACTGGGGGATGGAGTTCCAGAGCCTGGGGGGTGAGAGGCTGAAGGCCCGACCACCGATGGTAGGGCGGTTGGGGCGGGGGACGTGGAGCAGACCGGAGGCGGAGGAACGGAGGGTACGGGCGGGTAGGTAGGGGGATAGTAGGTCAGAGAGGTAGGAGGGAGCAAGGCCGTGGATGGCCTTATAGGTGAGGATGAAAGACACTGAATGGGCATTTAATCAGCAAATTAATTTCAATATAGATAAGTGTGAGGTGGTATATTTTGGTAGGATGAATAAGGAGGTCACATACTGCCTGGAAAATAAGAATCTAAGTGGGGTAGAGGAGCAAAGGGATCCAGGGGTACAGATACACAAATCACTGAAAGTAGCAACACAGGCCATAAAAAAGCAAACTAAGCATTGGGGTTCATTTCTAGAGGGATAGAAATTAAAAGCAGGGAAGTTATGCTTAACATACATCGAACCTTGGTTAGCCCACTTGGAGTACTGTGTGTAGTTCCTGTCCCCATAGTATAGAAAGGATGTAGAGGCACTGGAGAAGGTGCAAAGGAGATTCACAAGGATGATTCCAGAACTGAGAGTTCAGTAGACAATTATTGATTGTTACTGATATGAGTCATATGATCTATGTATCCTTTTTTGCTAATCATTTACCATTGTGTGTTTTTTAAATTTTGTTATTTAATGCTTGACTATGTTAATCTACAAGTCAGATTTTTTTGGATTGGGAAAATAGTTTAAGTCACCAAAATTGAATTTCTCATCTATTGATTTATAATCGTCACTTTTTCTTTAGAAGACAAAATACTGACAGGCTCATTAACCAACAACAATGGTAGCAATATATTTCTGTACAACATTGCATTTCCTGTAGACCTGTAGCTCATTGGTTAGAGCACTTGTCTCGCAAGTGAGAGACCTGGGTTTGATTCCCGGCAGGATGTGATGTTGGGCAAGTTTCCTTGCTCCACATAATTCTGTTTACCTAGCAGTAAGTAGGATCGCTTGGCTGATCGCTTTTCCGGGGCTAATAATTCCTTGAAAAATTGAAAAATCAATGAATAATAATGAATTGGTCACTTCAACGGTGACTGTTTGTGAGACACTGATGTTCGCAATTGGCTACCGAGTTTTCCCACGAAATATACAGTCAATTCACTTTGAAGCCCACCACCTGCTCCCTGGACCCCATCCCCACCTCTCTCCTTAAATCCCAGCTCCACCTCCTTGCCCCACTACTCGCCAACATCACCAACCTCTCCCTGTCACCTAGCACTGTTCCTTCCCCCCTCAAAACAACTATTATCACCCCCACCTTGAAGAAACCTTTCCTTGACCCATCACAGCTATCCAGCTACCGCCCATCTCAAACATCCCTTTCCTACCCAAGGTCCTTGAGAGAGCCGTTGCCTCCCAGCTCTGCTCTTTCCTCTCCTCTGTCTCCCTCCATGAACCCCTCCAATCAGGTTTCTATGCTGCCCATAGCACGGAAACTGTTCTGGTCAAGGTCACAAACGACATCCTGATCATGTTTGACCAGGGCTCCCTCTGCCTCCTCGTCCTCCTTCACCTCTCGGCTGCCTTTGACACCGTGGACCATTCAATCGTCCTCCACCGCCTCTCCTCCCACCTCAACCTTCAAGGTTCTGTCCTTGACTGGTTCAGATCCTACCTCTCACACCGCCTCCACTTCGTCACAGCAAACGGCTTCTCCTCCAGCCCCCGCACTGTCTCGTGCGGTGTTCCTCAGGGCTCTGTCCTCGGTCCCCTCCTCTTCACCCTCTACATGCTCCCCCTTGGTGACATCATCCACAGATGTGGGGTTAACTTCCACATGTATGTGGATGACACCAACTCTATGTCTCTATCTCCACCTTCAACTCCAGGACTAATGGCGTCCTGACCGACTGCCTGTCCGACATGAAGTCCTGAATGAGGGACAACTTTCTTCAGCACAACGTGAGCATGACCGAGGCTGTCCTGATTGGCTCACGCCAGCGCCTCCGCACCTCAGGCGCTGGCAGCATCAGCATCCACGACTGCACACTTAACCTCACTAAGCCAGTCAGAAATCTGGGTGTCTTGTTTAACCCTAAACTGTCCTTTCTCCCCCACATCTGCACAATGACCGGCACTGCCTACCACCACCTACGCAAAATTGCCAGACTCTGCCACTGCCTCATCCCTCAGGCTGCTGAAACCCTTATCCATGCATTCTTCACATCAAGGCTCGATTACGGAAACTTCCTCCTCATCGGCCTTCCCAACTCTTCCCTTCATAAGCTGCAGATCATCCAAAACTCTGCAGCTTGTGTACTCTCGCACACCAGGCTCCGTGACTCCATCACTCCCACCCTCGCCTGACTCCACTGGCTCCCTATCCCTCAGAAGATTGAGTTCAAGATCCTCGTCCTTATTTTCAAGGCCATCCATGGCCTTGCCCACTCCTACCTCTCTGACCTGCTGATTGCCTACCAACCTGCCCGCTCCCTCCGTTCAGCGTGTTCCGGCCTGCTCCATGTCTCCCGCCCGACCCACCCTACCATTGATGGCCGGGCTTTCAGCCTCTCTGCCCCCACACTCTGGAACTCCATCTCACGGTCCCTTCGCTTTGCTTTTTCCTTTGCCTCCTTCAAGGCCGGTCTCAAGACCCTTCTCTTCGTCAGTGCCTTTGGTCTCCCTCTCTGCCTTCCCTCACCCCTACACCACCCCTCCTCATTGCTCGGGCACCGACACCTGACTGTTCAGCGCTTTGGGATGTCCTCCTGATGTGAAAGGCGCTCTATAAATGTAATTGTTGTTGTTGTTTGCAGTATATTCTGTGAAGCACTTTGAAACGTCTTGTTTTTTTTTTAAAAATGTGATAAGCCACTATATCAAGAATAAGGATTATTGTTATTTTCTTCAGCAGACCACATTTAATTACCCTTTGCACATATAGAGTGCTATAACAAATACTGGTAAATTTTTCATTTTAAATGATTATTTGGGGAGGACAAGCTTGCAGGGCTACGGGGAGGGAGTGGGATTGATTTGGATAGCTCTTTTCAAAGAGCCAGCACAGACACAATGGTCCGAATGGCCTCCTTCTGTGCTGTATAATTCGATAATTTTCCACTGATTAAAGGGTAAGCCTTTCTAATTTTAGGGATTTTATGATGGCAAAAGAGCAATTAATGCTTTACAATGTAAATATTATCTTTAAATTTCATATGGTGCATTTCATATTGGGAGGATACCTGAAAGCACTTCACATGGTTTACTGCACAGTGTACTTTATTTATGTGGGCAGATCGATTTTAAATAAATCATAACTGATTCTCCAACTATCCAATTAAACTCTCTTTTGCCTCTGGAAGAAAGAATAATTAACGCCCCAACGACGAGCACAGCAGGTAAGCAATATCTTTCTAGATACAACACTACATTGACTATCACTGAATAAGATAATTATTAGTTAAAGAATAATTTTATACCACTTTTTATGATGTTTGATTCCAATTTAATATTGAGCTTTTGAAGTTTGCTGTGACATCAAAAATAATCTTTTCGTATCGTGAAAGATTCCAGACCAAAATGAAACAGAATTACTGATCTGGAATCGAATTGCTGTGGAAGTAATCAAAAGACAGTGTTTTTCTAGACTTAGTGTTGTTCTTGGAATGTTTGATATTGAAATATATCCTATATTGATGCTGCTGCAAGATTAACAAGTATCAAATGTCTGCGAATACTGGTTTGAATCATTTTCTTGTTGTTTAGGATCAACAAGAACTCCGTCAACAACTGTTACCCAGTCAAGCGGTAGGAAATTTATCTTTTGCATGCAAATGTTTAATTTTTCACACAACTGCTACAAATGCAAGAATAAAAGTTGAAAATGTTATGATGTTTCCTGTAAAATAGTATTGAAGCAATAAAATATATTGTACCCATCTAACTGTATATTGCTGTTCTGTGATACCCATGAATCTCATTATTAGCCACAATAAAAAATATTTGTGTAGTTCTAGAGAGGAAATGAAGATCTAATGATTTCAATGATGCTCTCTCCATTTTAGGAACAACAAAAACAAGCGCAACTCCATTAATCCAATCTATCATCACTGGTACTTAATTTATATTTTTCTTTACCATATATTGTCTCTCACCCAAATTCTCTTTCACCAAAAGCTACAATTTATGAACTGATAGCACAGTAGACTATTATTGATTGTGACTGATATGACCTATGTTTTCTTTTTCGCTAATCATATACCATTGTGTTTTGTTAAATATTGTTATTTAATGCTTAACTATGTTCTTCCACAAGTCAGCTTTTTAGATTGTGAAAAGAGTTCAGGGTATACCAAAATTGAATGTTCCATCTACTGATTTATAATCCTGGCTTTTCCTTTGGAAGAAAGAAGAGTGACAGGCACATTAACCAACAACAACGATAGCAATATATTACTGTACAACATTGGAAATTTCTTCCCCAGAACACATGTACATTTAAATACCCTTTGCATATATATAGAGGAACATTAAATACTGGCATATTTGCTCTCTGAGATGCTACCTTGTGTAGAAGGCACTATATAAGTGCAAATTGTGCAAATTGTCTGTTCAATTTGAAAATGAAACGTCATTCATTTTCCACTTAACAGTAATAATAATAATAATAATGTCCCTTGCATTTGATATAGCGCCTAATCACATCTTTGAGACATCTTAAAGTGCTACTGTTACCCAGTCAAGCAATAGTAAATTTGTCTTCTGCATGCATGTCTGAAAGAGCTTCACAGACTATACAGTAAAATGAGTAGACTTTATATTTTGTGGGCGAAAAAGGGGAAGCCTACTAATGTTTGGGATATAATGATGGTGAAAGAGCAATTCATGCTTTGCAATGTTATTATTATCTTTACATTTCATATGGTGCATTTCACACTGGGAGGACACTTGAAAGCACTTCACATGGTTTACTGTACAGTAAATGTAAAGTACACTGTGCAGTTTGTGGGATGATCGATTAAAGTAAAAAACTTCATAGCTGATTCTCTAACCATTCATTTAAACTCTTTTCTTTGTCCTTGAGAAGAAACAACAACTAATGCCCCAAGGCCAAGTACAGCAGGTAAGCAATATCTTTCTAGATACAACACTACAATGACGTTCACTGAATATGACAATTATTAGTTGAAGAATAATTTTATACCACTTTTTATGATGTTTGATTCTAATTTAATATTGAGCTTTTGAAGTTTGCTTTGACATCAAAAAAAATCTTTTTCTATTGTGAAAGATTTCAGACCAAAATGAAATAGAATTCATGTTTCACACAATTGCTACAAATGCAAGAATATAATTTGAAAGTGTTATCTCCATTTTAGGAACAACAAACACAAGCAGAACTCCATTAATCCAATCTATCACCATTGGTACTTTTTCTTTTCCATTTATTGTCTCTCAGCCAAACTGTCTTTCACCAAAAGCTGCCATTTTTGAACTAATTGTTCAGGAGACAATTATTGATTGTGACTGATATACAACAAAAAAACAACAATATTACATTTATAGAGCACCTTTCACGTCGGGAGGACGTCCCAAGGCGCTGGACAATTGGTTCGGGACCCGAGCAGGGGGGAAATGGTCAGGATGAGGGGAGGGAGGGGAGGGAGCGAGGAGGGGGTAGAGAGTCGAGAGGGAAGCTAAAGGCACGGTCGAAGAGAAAGGTCTTGAGACCGGCCTTGAAGGAGGAAAGGGAGGAGGCGGCGAAGGCACTGGGGGATAGAGTTCCAGAGCCTCGGGGCTGAGAGGCTGAAGGCCCGGCCACCGATGGTAGGGCGGTTAGGGCGGGGGATGTGGAGCAGACCGGAGCCAGAGGAACAGAGGGTACGGGCAGGTAAGTAGGGGGATAGTAGGTCAGAGAGGTAGGAGGGAGCGAGGCCGTGAATGGCCTTGTAGGTGAGGATGACGATCTTGAAATCAATCCTCTGGGGGATGGGGAGCCAGTGGAGGCGAGCGAGGGTGGGAGTGATGTGGTCACGAAGCCTTGTGCGGGACAGTACATGAGCTGCAGAGTTCTGAATGACCTGCAGCGTGTGGAGGGAGGTGCCGGGAAGGCCGGCGAGGAGAGAGTTCCCATAGTCCAGCCTTGAGGTGATAAAGGCGTGGACCAGAGTTTCAGCATCGTGAGGGGTGAGGTAGTGCCGTAGTCTGGCGATGTTTCGGAGGTGATGGAAGGCGGTGCCAGTTGTGGCGCAGATATGAGGGAGAAAGGACAGCTCAGGGTCAAACAGAACCCCGAGGTTCCTGAGTGGCTTTGAGAGGTGGAGAGTGCAGCCTTGGATGCTGATGCTGTCAGCGCCTGAGGTGCGGAGGCGCTGACGTGAGCCAATCAGGAGGGCCTCAGTTTTTCACACGTTGAGCTGAAGAAAGTTGTCTCTCGTCCAGGACTCGATGTCGGACAGGCAGCTGTCAGGACATCGTTGGTCGTGGAGTTGAGGGTAGAGGAGGAAAGGTAGAGTTGGGTGTCATCCGCATACATGTGGAAGTTAACCCCATGTCTGTGGATGATGTCACCGAGGGGGAGCATATAGAGGGTGAAGAGGAGGGGATCGAGGGCAGAGCCCTGAGGGACACCGCACGAGACAGTGCGGGGGTGGAGGAAAAGCCGTTTGCAGAGACAAAATAAAGACGGTGGGAGAGGTAGGACCTAAACCACTCAAGGACACGGCCTTGAAGGTTGAGGTGGGAGGACAAGCGGTGGAGTAGGATAGCGTGGTCGACGGTATCGAATGCGGCCGATAGGTTGAGGAGGACGAGGAGGCAGAGGGAGCCCTGGTCGCAGATGGTCAGGATGTCATTGGTGACCTTGACCAGGGCAGTTTCTGTGCAATGGGCAGCACGGAAACCTGACTGAAGGGGTTCAAATAATGAATGGGTGGAGAGGAAAGAGCGCAGCTGGGAGGCGACAACTCGTTCCAGGACCTTGGACAGGAAGGGGAGGTTGGAGATGGGCCGGTAGCTTGATCGCTGCGACGCATCAAGGGAGGGTTTTTTCAAAGTGGAAGTGATGGTGGCAGTTTTTAGGGGAATAGGAACAGAGCCTGTTGGATACTGTTTTCAGTAAGAGTCTTCAGATGAATGAAAGTTTCAATAAATTTTATTCAGTCCTGCAAAATAGCTGCAGTCCAGGCACAACGTCTTCAGACACTCCTGGTTGCAGAGAGCTTGTAAAACCGGTTTAAGTTGGTTATCATATCTTAGCTCACTCATCACAGCCCAAATAAGGTCTTCTTGTTTGAGTTCAAACAAGGGTCGACCAATGGTCTCCCACAGAGCCAGAGGAGAGGGACAGGTTGACGATGTCTGTGATATGTGGGGCAAGGAGGTGGAGCTGGGAGATAAGGAGTGGAGTGGAGTGGGGATGGGGTCAAGGAAGCAGTTGGTGGGTTTCAGGGATAGGATGAGTTTGGTGACAGAGGGTGGGGAAATGGGTACGAAGGTGGGAGTGTGGGAGGGAGGGGGTGAGGGGTGGGTGGAAGTTGGAAGGGGAGTGACCGCGGAGCGGATTCCCTTGATTTTGGATTCAAGAAAATTCAGCATCTCCTCGCAGTGATATAAGCTATGTTTCCTTTTTGCAAATCATTTACCATTGTATTTTTTTGAATATTGTTGTTTAATGTTTGACTGTGCTAATCCAATTTTTTGATTTTTGAAAAGAGCTTACGTCACCAAAACTGAATTTCACATCTATTGATTGATAATCCTTACTCTATAAATAAAAAAAAGTCTTCCTTTAGAAGAAAGAATACTGACAGTCTCATTAACCAACAACAATGGAAGGAATATATTTCTGTATGACATTGCAAGCAGATTATTTTCTAGAGGGCGAGAGACTAGGTAGTGTTAGTATTCAGAGGGATTTAGGTTTCCTTGTACATCAATCACAGAAAGTTAGTATGTAGGTACAGCAAGCAATTAGGAAGGCTAATAGCATCTTAGCGTTTATTGCAAAGAGGTTAGAGAACAAGAGTAGGGAAGTCTTGCTGAAATTTTATAGGGCCTTGGTGAGACCGCACGTGGAATATTGTTTGTAGTTTTGGTTTCCTTATCTAAGAATGGATGTACTCGCCTTCGAGGGGGTGCAACGTACGTTCACTAGGTTAGTTCTTGGGATGAACGGGCTGACTTACGAGGAGAGGTTGAGTAGACTAGGCCTACGTTCTCTAGAATATTGAAGAATTAGAGGTGGTCTTATAGAAACCTTATAAGATTCTTAAGGGTCTTGACAGGGTAGACAGTGTGAAACTGATTCCCCTGTTTGGAGAATCTAAAACTAGGGGACATAGTCTCAGGATTAAAGGGCAGCCTTTTAGAACTGAGTGAGAACCTAGAATGACATTCTGAACTCTGTGATCAGGGCTCCCTCTGCCTCCTTGTCCTCCTCGACCTCTCTGCTGCCTTCAACACTGTCGACCACACCATCCTCATACACCACCTCACCTCCTTACTTAATCTTCATGGACCTGTCCTTGCCTGGTTCGATTCCTATCTCTCTCACCGTCTCCACTTTGTTGCCTCTAACGGTTTCTCCTCCAGCCCTCACGCTGTCACGTCTGGCATCCCCCAGGGCTCTGTCCTTGGCCCTCTCCTCTTTAATATCTACATGCTCCCCTTGGTAGCATCATCTGCAGACATGGGATCAACATGTATGCGGATGACACCCAACTCTATCTTTCTGCCTCCATCCTCAACTCCAGGGCCACTGCTGTCCTGGCAGACTGTCTGTAGGACATCAAGTCCTGGATGAGGGCAAATTTCCTACAGTTGAATGTGAACAAGACTAAGGCTCTCCGGATTGGCTCGCGTCAGCGCCTCAGCACCTCAAGCTCTGGCAGCATCAACTTCAACTCACCAAGCCAGTCAGGGACCTCAGTGTCTTGTTCGATCCTCAACTATCTTTTTTTCCCTACATCCAAGCCATGACCCACTCTGCCTTCCCTCACCTCTGTAACATCGCCCGACTCCACCACTACCTCACACCTCAGGTCACTGAAACTCTTGTTCATGCCTTCATCACCTCCAGGCTCAACTATGTCGGCCTTCCCCACTCCTCCCTCCACAGGCTGCAGCTAATCCAGAACTCTGCAGCCCTTGTCCTCTCCCGCATCAAACTCTGTAACCCCATCTTCCCCATTCTCGCCCAACTCCATTGGCTCCCTATCCTTCAGAGGATCCAGTTCAAAATCCTGGTCCTCGCCTACAAAGCCCTCAATGGTCTCGCCCCACCCTATCTCGGCAACCTCCTAACTCCTTACCAACCCGCCCGCTCCCTCCACTCAGCCGGCTCTGGCTTGCTCCACGTTCCCCGATCCACCCGCCTCACCATTGGCAGGAGAACCTTCAACCACTCTGCCTCCAACCTCTGGAACTCCATCCCCCAATCACTCCGCCCCACCCCCTCCTTAGCCTCCTTCAAGTTCCACCTCAAAACCCTCCTCTTTGACCATGCCATTGGTCACCCCCTTCCTCTCCCTTCCCTTCTCCCCCCTGACCCCAACTTGGGTCTCAAATGCTGTACACTGTCCAGAGCCTTGGGCCGTCCTTCCGACGTGAAAGGCACTATACAAATGTAATCTTGTTGTTGTTGAGTTGAGAAACCATTTCTTCACTCAAAGGGTAGTGAATTTATGGAATTCTCTACCCCAGAAGGCTGTGGATGCTCAGTCATGGAACATATTCAAGACTGAGATCGATAGATTTTTAAAAACTAAAGGGATTAAGGGATATAGGGATAGGGCGGATAAATGGAATTAGGTTAGAAGATCAGCAGGCTCGAGGGGCCGAATGGCCTATTCCTGCTCCTTCTTATGTTCTTATGCAATTTCATTCACCAGACCACGTATATATTTAAATACTCTTTAAACATATATAGTGCTATGTCAAATACTGGTATTTGAAAAGAAAACATCATTCGTTTTCCAATGATTTATAATAAGAATCCTTGCATTTGTTATATCACCTCATCACGTCTTCGAGACATCTGAAAGCGCTTCGCAGAATATACTCTAAGCAGGAGTGGGCAAAATACGGCCTGTGTCTGGCCCGTCAATGTGTCTAGCAATAAAAAAAATTATAGTTCATTCAGTCCCAGAAAGGATCAGTTTTAAATGCGTCCCATACGTTGCTTCAGCTCCCCTCTTGACTCTCTACCCCCTCCTCGCTCCCTCCCTTCCCTCCCCTCACCATTTCCCCACTCCTCGGGTCCCGACCCAACTGTCCAGCGCCTTGGGACTTTCGCCCGACGTGAAAGGCGCTCTATAAATGAAATCTTGTTATTGTTGTTGTTGCTTACTTTTGTCACAGCATCGACTTTTAATTGCTAAAGTTGTTAGTTTTTTTCTCCACGAATTTCGCATTTCAATCAGACCGAGAACTTCAGCCAATCACACTGCTTAGTTGTGCGCATGCTCCCTTAAATGTTGAAGCAGGCTGACTTCAGAAATTTACGGATTGGCAAATTTTCAAACTCGCGCACGGCAACTGCAGCTGACTCATATGTGTTGGCCACGACATGAGCAACGTAAAGCATTATTGCCACAGAATGTCAGTTCTAACTAGAATTGACGTTCGCCATTAATACTTTTCACTGAAGAAGACGTTACTGTGATTTATCTGTTTATTATTCGTTTGTATTTTTGTGCGCCAATTTGGTATTTATATCACCCATAAACCGTGAATGTTAATTTGAAATAAGTTTATCAAAGAAGCAACAAAGAATGGAGTTCTGAATTTTTTTTATCAGTGTGGGTGGAAAAGCTGTGTGCTTAATTTGTGGCAGTGCTCAAAGATTACAACTTGAATCGCCATTGTGAGAGCAAACGTGCTTCTCCCGAAGAAAAAGGAAAGAAAGCTGATGAGATGGTTGTTCGAATGCAAAAAGAGCAAAGCATTTTCGCAAACAATTTGCGCCCCAGGAAGAGGTTAAAAGAGTGAGTTACATGATTGCACACAAAATCGCTAAGAACAGCAAACGATGCTCTGAAGGAGAATTTATAAAGGAATGTATCGTTGACTCTGCCTCGATTTTATGCCCATACAAGAAAAAACAGTTCGAAAACATTAGCTTTTCAAGACGAACTATTGTGAGACATGTTGAGGATATCTCTGAGAACCTGTATCTGAAGTTACAAAATAAAGTAAGCAATTTTGCATGTTTTTCACTGGCACTCGATGAGAATTGTGATGTCAAAGACACAGCCCAATTGATAATTTTTAATCAAGGGTATCACCAAACATTTTGAGCTCACAGAAGAATTGGCATCAATGCAGTCAATGAAAGGTAGGACAACTGGAGAAGACTTTTTGGAGGCAGTAAATAAGTGTATCTTAAAATTTGGAGTGGAGTGGAAAAAATTGGTGAATGTAACCACCGATGGAAGCCCAAATCTGACAGGCAAAAATGTTGGGTTACTGAAAAGAATTCAAGATCAAGTCAAAGAAACAAATCCAGAACAGAATATTGTTTTATAACACTGCATTATCCACCAAGAGGTCCTCTGTAAGAGTGTTCTAAACCTAAGTAATGTCGTGGACACAGTTACGAAAGTGGTCAACTACATTCGAGCAAGAGGATTAAACCACAGGCAATTTGTAACTGCTTGAGGAATTGGAATCCGAGCACACGGATGTTCTGTATTACATGAATGTAAGATGGCTTAGTTTAGGAAAGGTCTTGAAAAGAGTGTGGGAACTGAGATCAGAGATAGATTTATTTTTGGATATGAAACAAAAAGTTTTGGATTTCCCACAGCTGAATGTTGCGAATTGGCTCTCTGATTTCGCATTTGCTATTGATATCATGGGCCACATGAATGAACTGAATTCAAAACTGCAACAGAAAGGGCCTTTGTGCACGATTTGTATTGCAGTGTCAAGTCATTTATGACAAAATTATTTATTTTATCGCGTCAGATATTAAACAGGCAGTTCGCCCACTTTCCAACTTTGCAGCAGATTTTGTGATCAAAGCCTTAAAAACTGTACTTCGTCACTACTTGACTTACATGCTGAATTTTCTTGCCAATTCCACGATTTCAATTTGATCGAAAATAACCTCTCTGTGGTCTCTTTATCTTTCTTATTTGATGTTGACAAAGCCCCATTTGACCTCCAACTCGAGCTTATTGACCTGCAATGTGATCCATTGCTTGCGGAGCAATTCAAATCAGTGCCGTTTCCAAGTTTTTATGCCTTTCTTAATGAATATACCTTTCAATAAATAAAGACTCATGCCCGGAGGATGCTTGTGTTGTTTGAATTAACATACATATGTGAGGAGACATTTTCTGTGATGAAATTCAATAAATCAAAACAAGATCTGTGATGACTGATGACCACCTTGCAGCAGTACTCCACGTTGCAACAACGGAGACGATGCCTGACTTCAATTGTCTGGTTAACGCACATCAGCGCTTTCATTCTTCCCATTGAGTGAGCTTCTCACATTCGCATCAATATGTGAATAAATGAATAAATATTTGAATAAATGCTCAATGATTTGTTTTTATTTAACCAAATTTTAATAAACGTCAATTATATAGACTTTATTTTATGCACGTACAATTGTAAGACTTGATTTTGAGCTATTATTAAGCATGTGCATCTATATTAAATGTGTGATCTGTGAAGCTTGCCAAAACTCATGAAGTGGCTCACCAGCCAAAATAATTGCAAATCCATGCTCTAAAGTGAATTGACTGTATATTTTGTGGGCGAAAAGGAGGAAGCCTCTGTAATGTTTGGGATATAATGATGGTGAAAAAGCAATTCATACTTTTCAATGTTGTTATTATCTTTACATTTCATAAGGTGCATTTCACATTGGGAGGATATCTGAAAGCACTTGACATGTGCAGTGTCACTTTTCACTGTACAGTAAATGTAAAGTACACTGCCTTTTTGTGGGCAGATCAACTTTTAAAAAAAATCATAGCTGATTCTCCAAACATTCAATTAAACTCTTTTTCCTCAAGAAGAAGCAACAACTAATGCCCCATCTATGAGCACAGCAGGTAAACAATATCTTTCCAGACACATCACTACATTGACTATCAATGAATATGACAATTATTAATTGAACAATAATTTCATATCACTTTTTTAAAATGTTTGATTCCAATTTAATATTGAGCTTTTGAAGTTTGCATTGACATCAAAAATAATCTTTTTGTATCAGGAAATATTCCAGACCCAAATTAAATAGAATCACTAATCTGGATCGGAATTGCTGTGGATGCAATCAAAAGAATGTGCCATCTAGATTTAGTGTTCTTCTTGGAATGTTTGATATTGAAGTATATCCTATATTCATCCCGCTGCAAGATTAACAAGTATCAAATGGCTGCAAGTAGTGGTTTGATGTATTTTCTTGTTGTTTGGGATCAACAAGAAGTCCGTCAAAATCTATAAGTACAACCACTTTTATCCAGTTAAGCAGCAGGAAATTTGACTTTTGCATGCAAATGTTTCATGTTTCTCACAATTACTAAAAATGCATGAATAAAAGTTGAACATGTTAGGATGCTTCCTGTCAATTAGTATTGTAGCAACAAAATATATTTCACCCAACTAACTGTATATTGCTGTTCTGTGAATTCCATGAATCTCATTATCAGCATTCCATTTATTCCATTTACCAAACTGTCTTTCACCAAAAGCTGCCATTTATGAACTAATTGTTCAGTAGACAATTATTGATTGTGATTGATATGAGCTATGTTTCCTTTTTGAAAACCATTTACTTTTTTTTAAATATGGTTATTTAATGCTTAACTATGTTAATCTACAAGTCAGAATTTTTTTGGTTTGTGAAAAAAGTTGAGGTCACCAAACTGAATTTCCCATGTATTGGTTTAGAATCCTTACTCTAGAATTAAAAAAAAGTCTTCCTTTAGACGAAAGAATACTGATGGGCTCTGTAACCAACAACACTGGAAGCAATATATTTTTGTATGACTTTGCAATTTCAATCACCAAGTCTATATTTATATATGTTTATTTATATATTTAATAATAGTAATATATCCTTAACAATGATAATAATCCTGCATTTGAAATAGCGCTTTTCCCGTCTTCTGCACGGCTCAATGCGCTTTACAGAATTTGTGAGCGAAATGCGGCAGCCAAATTGCGCACAGCAGTGTCCCACAAACAGTCGTGGATTGAAGTGACCAATTTATTATCGTTTTCTTTCCTGAGGGATTATGATTAGGTGTGTGGAGTAAGGAAACTTGCTGAAAGTGAATGAATTTCATAGCTTATTCTCCAACCTTTCATTTAAACTCCTTTCTTTTTCCTCGAGAAGAAACACCGGCTAATACCTCAACGCCAAGCACAGCAGGTAAGCAATATCTTTCGAGATACAACACTGCAATGACGTTCACTGAATATGACATTTATTAGTTGAGGAATAATTTTATACCACTTGTTATGATGTTTCATTCCAATTTAATATTGAGCCTTTGAAGTTCGCTGTGACATCAAAAATAATCTTTTTGTATCGTGAAAGATTCCAGACCAAAATGAAATAGAATTACTGATCTGGATTAGAATTGCTATGGATGCAATCCAAAGACAGCGTTTTTCTAGACTTAGTGTTGCTCTTGGAAAGTTTGATATTGAAGTATATCCTATGTTGATGCTGCTGCAACTTTATCAGGTATCAAGTGTCAGCGAATACTGGTTTGATGCATTTTCTGTTGTTTAGAATCAACAACAACTCCGTCAACAACAATAAGTACAACCACTGTTACCCATTCAAGCGGTAGGAAAATCATCTTTTGCATGCAAATGATTCATGTTTCACACAATTAATACGAATACAAGAATATCATTTGAAAATGTTATCTCCATTTTAGGAATAACAAAAACAAGCAGAATTCCATTAATCCAACCTATCATCACTGGTACTTAATTTATTTTTCATTTTCCATTTACTGTCTCTCAAGCAAACTGTCTTTCACCAAAGGTGCCATTTATGAACTAATTGTTCAGTCGACAATTATTGATTGTGATTGATATGAGCTATGTTTCCTTTTTGAAAATCATTTACTTTTTTTTAAATATGGTTATTTGATGCTTAAATATGTTAATCCACAAGTCAGAATTTTTTTGGTTTGTGAAAAAAGTTGAGGTCACCAAACTGAATTTCCCATGTATTGGTTTACAATCCTTACTCTATAATTAAAAAAAAGTCTTCCTTTAGAAGAAAGAAGACTGATGAGCTCTTTAACCAACAAGACTGGAAGCAATATATTTTTGTATGACTTTGCAATTTCATTCATCAAGTCTGTATTTATATATGTGTATTTATATATTTAATAATAGTAATATATCCTTAACAATGATAATAATAATAATCCTGCATTTGAAATAGCGCTTTTCCCGTCTTCTACACGGCTCAATGCGCTTCACAGAATTTGTGAGCGAAATGCGGCAGCCAAATTGCGCACAGCAGTGTCCCACAAACAGTCGTGGATTGAAGTGACCAATTTATTATCGTTTTCTTTCCTGAGGGATTATGATTAGGTGTGTGGAGTAGGGAAACTTGCTGAAAGTAAAAGAATTTCATAGCTTATTCTCCAACCATTCATTTAAACTCCTGTCTTTTTCCTCGAGAAGAAACACCGACTAATGCCTCAACGCTAAGCACAGCAGGTAAGCAATATCTTTGGAGATAGAACACTACAATGACGTTCAATGAATATGACCTTTATTAGTTAAAGAATAATTTTATACCACTTGTTATGATGTTTGATTCCAATTTAATATTGAGCTTTTGAAGTTTGCTGTGACATCAAAAATAAACTTTTTGTATCATGAAAGATTCCAGACCAAAATGAAATAGAATTACTGATCTGGATTAGAATTGCTATGGATGCAATCCAAAGACGGTGTTTTTCTAGACTTAGTGTTGCTCTTGGAAAGTTTGATATTGAAGTATATCCTATGTTGATGCTGCTGCAACTTTATCAGGTATCAAGTGTCAGCGAATACTGGTTTGATGCATTTTTTGTTGTTTAGAATCAACAACAACTCTGTCAACAACAATAAGTACAACCACTGTTACCCAGTCAAGCCGTAGGAAAATCGTCTTTTGCATGCAAATGATTCATGTTTTACATAATTAATACAAATACAAGAATATCATTTGAAAATGTTATCTCTATTTTAGGAACAACAAAAACAAGCAGAGTTCCATTAATCCAACCTATCATCACTGGTACTTAATTTATTTTTCATTTTCCCTTTACTGCCTCTCAAACAAACTGTCTTTCACCAAAAGCTGCCATTTATGAACTAATTGTTCAGTAGACAATTATTGATTGTGATTGATATGAGCTATGTTTCCTTTTTGAAAACCATTTACTTTTTTTNAAATATGGTTATTTAATGCTTAACTATGTTAATCCACAAGTCAGAATTTTTTTGGTTTGTGAAAAAAGTTGAGGTCACCAAACTGAATTTCCCATGTATTGGTTTAGAATCCTTACTGTAGAATTAAAAAAAAGTCTTCCTTTAGACGAAAGAATACTGATGGGCTCTGTAACCAACAACACTGGAAGCAATATATTTTTGTATGACTTTGCAATTTCATTCATCAAGTCTGTATTTATATATGTGTATTTATATATTTAATAATCGTGATATATCCTTCACAATGATAATAATCCTGCATTTGAAATAGCGCTTTTCACGTCTTCTACACGGCTCAATGCGCTTCACAGAATTTGTGAGCGAAATGCGGCAGCCAAATTGCGCACAGCAGTGTCCCACAAACAGTCGTGGATTGAAGTGACCAATTTATTATCGTTTTCTTTCCTGAGGGATTATGATTAGGTGTGTGGAGTAGGGAAACTTGCTGAAAGTAAAAGAATTTCATAGCTTATTCTCCAACCTTTCATTTAAACTCCTTTCTTTATCCTCGAGAAGAAACACCGACTAATGCCCCAACGCCAAGCACAGCAGGTAAGCAATATCTTTCGAGATACAACACTGCAATGACGTTTACTGAATATGACATTTTTTATTAGTTGAGGAATAATTTTATATCACTTGTTATGATGTTTGATTCCAATTTAATATTGAGCCTTGGAAGTTTTTCTGTGACATCAAAAATAATCTTTTTGTATCATGAAAGATTCCAGACCAAAATGAAATAGAATTACTGATCTGGATTAGAATTGCTATGGATGCAATCCAAAGACAGTGTTTTTCTAGACTCAGTGTTGCTCTTGGAAAGTTTGATATTGAAGTATATCCTATGTTGATGCTGCTGCAAGTTTATCAGGTATCAAGTGTCTGCGAATACTGGTTTGATGCATTTTTTGTTGTTTAGAATCAACAACAACTCCGTCAACAACAATAAGTACAACCACTGTTACCCAGTCAAGCGGTAGGAAAATCATCTTTTGCATGCAAATGATTCATGTTTCACACAATTAATACAAATACAAGAATATCATTTGAAAATGTTATCTCCATTTTAGGAACAACAAAAACAAGCAAAATTCGATTATTCCAACCTATCATCACTGGTACTTAATTTATTTTTCATTTTCCCTTTACTGTCTCTCAACCAAACTGTCTTTCACCAAAAGCTGCCATTTATGAACTAATTGTTCAGCAGACAATTATTGATTGTGACTGATATGAGCTATGTTTCCTTTTTGAAAATCATTTACAATTTTTTTTAAATATTGTTATTTAATTCTTAATTATGTTAATCCACAAGTCAGAATTTTTTGGGTTTGTGAAAAAAGTTGAGGTCACCAAACTGAATTTCCCATGTATTGGTTTAGAATCCTTACTCTATAATTAAAAAAAAGTCTACCTTTAGAAGAAAGAATACCGATGGGCTCTTTAACCAACAACACTGGAAGCGATAAATTTTTGTATGAGTTTGCAATTTCATTCACCAAGTCTGTATTTTTCATGTTTATTTATATATTTAATAATAGTAATATATCCTTAACAATGATAATAATCCTGCATTTGAAATAGCGCTTTTCACGTCTTCTACACGGCTCAATGCGCTTCACAGAATTTGTGAGCGAAATGCGGCAGCCAAATTGCGCACAGCAGTGTCCCACAAACAGTCGTGGATTGAAGTGACCAATTTATTATTGTTTTCTTTCCTGAGGGATTATGATTAGGTGTGTGGAGTAAGGAAACTTGCTGAAAGTAAAAGAATTTCATAGCTTATTCTCCAACCATTCATTTAAACTCCTTTCTTTTTCCTCGAGAAGAAACACCGACTAATGCCTCAACGCTAAGCACAGCAGGTAAGCAATATCTTTGGAGATAGAACACTACAATGACGTTCAATGAATATGACCTTTATTAGTTAAAGAATAATTTTATACCACTTGTTATGATGTTTGATTCCAATTTAATATTGAGCTTTTGAAGTTTGCTGTGACATCAAAAATAAACTTTTTGTATCATGAAAGATTCCAGACCAAAATGAAATAGAATTACTGATCTGGATTAGAATTGCTATGGATGCAATCCAAAGACGGTGTTTTTCTAGACTTAGTGTTGATCTTGGAAAGTTTGATATTGAAGTATATCCTATGTTGATGCGGCTTCAAGTTTATCAAGTATCAAGAGTCTGCGAATACTGGTTTGATGCATTTTTTGTTGTTTAGAATCAACAACAACTCCGTCAACAACAATAAGTACAACCACTGTTACCCAGTCAAGCGGTAGGAAAATCATCTTTTGCATGCAAATGATTCATGTTTCACACAATTAATACAAATACAAGAATATCATTTGAAAATGTTATCTCCATTTTAGGAACAACAAAAACAAGCAAAATTCGATTATTCCAACCTATCATCACTGGTACTTAATTTATTTTTCATTTTCCCTTTACTGTCTCTCAACCAAACGGTCTTTCACCAAAAGCTGCCATTTATGAACTAATTGTTCAGCAGACAATTATTGATTGTGACTGATATGAGCTATGTTTCCTTTTTGAAAATCATTTACAATTTTTTTTAAATATTGTTATTTAATGCTTAATTATGTTAATCCACAAGTCAGAATTTTTTTGGTTTGTGAAAAAAGTTGAGGTCACCAAACTGAATTTCCCATGTATTGGTTTACAATCCTTACTCTATAATTAAAAAAAAGTCTTCCTTTAGAAGAAAGAATACTGATGGGCTCTGTAACCAACAACACTGGAAGCGATATATTTTTGTATGACTTTGCAATTTCATTCATCAAGTCTGTATTTATATATGTATATTTATATATTTAATAATAGTAATATATCCTTAACAATGATAACAATAATAATCCTGCATTTGAAATAGCGCTTTTCACGTCTTCAACACGGCTCAATGCGCTTCACAGAATTTGTGAGCGAAATGCGGCAGCCAAATTGCGCACAGCAGTGTCCCACAAACAGTCGTGGATTGAAGTGAACAATTTATTATTGTTTTCTTTCCTGAGTGATTATGATTAGGTGTGTGGAGTAAGGAAACTTGCTGAAAGTAAAAGAATTTCATAGCTTATTCTACAACCTTTCATTTAAACTCCTTTCTTTTTCCTCAAGTAGAAACACCGACTAATGCCTCAACGCCAAGCACAGCAGGTAAGCAATATCTTTCGAGATAGAACACTACAATGACGTTCACTGAATATGACATTTATTAGTTGAGGAATAATTTTATATCACTTGTTATGCTGTTTGATTCCAATTTAATATTGAGCCTTGGAAGTTTGCTGTGACATCAAAAATAATCTTTTTGTATCGTGAAAGATTCAAGAACAAAATGAAATAGAATTACTGATCTGGATTAGAATTGCTATGGATGCAATCCAAAGACAGTGTTTTTCTTGACTCAGTGTTGATCTTGGAAAGTTTGATATTGAAGTATATCCTATGTTGATGCTGCTTCAAGTTTAACAAGTATCAAATGTCTGCGAATACTGGTTTGATGCATTTTTTGTTTTTTAGAATCAACAACAACTCCCTCAACAACAATAAGAACAACCACTGTTACCCAGTCAAGCGGTAGGAAAATCATCTTTTGCAGCAAATGATTCATGTTTCACACAATTAATACAAATACAAGAATATCATTTGAAAATGTTATCTCCATTTTAGGAACAACAAAAACAAGCAAAATTCGATTAATCCAACATATCATCACTGGTACTTAATTTATTTTTCATTTTCCATTTACTGTCTCTCAAACAAACTGTCTTTCACCAAAAGCTGCCATTGATGAACTAATTGTTCTGTCGACAATTATTGATTGTGATTGATATGAGTTATGTTTCCTGTTTGAAAATCATTTACTATTGTGTTTTTTAAATCTTGTTATTTAATGCTTAATTATGTTAATCCACAAGTCAGAATTTTTCTGGTTTGTGAAAAAAGTTGAGGTCACCAAACTGAATTTCCCATGTATTGGTTTACAATACTTACTCTATAATTAAAAAAAAGTCTTCCTTTAGAAGAAAGAATACTGATGGGCTCTTTAACCAACAAGACTGGAAGCAATATATTTTTGTATGACTTTGCAATTTCATTCACCAAGTCTGTATTTATATATGTATATTTATATATTTAATAATAGTAATATATCCTTAACAATGATAACAATAATAATGCTGCATTTGAAATAGCGCTTTTCACGTCTTCAACACGGCTCAATGCGCTTCATAGAATTTGTGAGCGAAATGCGGCAGCCAAATTGCGCACAGCAGTGTCCCACAAACAGTCGTGGATTGAAGTGACCAATTTATTATCGTTTTCTTTCCTGAGGGATTATGATTAGGTGTGTGCAGTAAGGAAACTTGCTAAAATTAAAAGAACTTCATAGCTGATTCTCCAACCATTCATTTAAACTCCTTTCTTTTTCCTCGAGAAGAAACACCGACTATTGCCTCAACGCCAAGCACAGCAGGTAAGCAATATCTTTCGAGATAGAACACTACAATGACGTTTACTGAATATGACATTTATTAGTTGAGGAATAATTTTATAACACTTTTTATGATGTTTGATTCCAATTTAATATTGAGCCTTGAAAGTTTGCTGTGACATCAAAAATAATCTTTTTGTATCGTGAAAGATTCCAGACCAAAATGAAATAGAATTACTGATCTGGATTAGAATTGCTATGGATGCAATCCAAAGACAGTGTTTTTCTAGACTTAGTGTTGCTCTTGGAAAGTTTGATATTGAAGTATATCCTATGTTGATGCGGCTACAAGTTTATCAAGTATCAAGTGTCTGCGAATACTGGTTTGATGCAATTTTTTGTTGTTTAGAATCAAAAACAACTCCGTCAACAACAATAAGTACAACCACTGTTACCCAGTCAAGCGGTAGGAAAATCGTCTTTTGCATGCAAATGATTCATGTTTCACACAATTCATACTCATACAACAACAACAACAACAACAACAACAAGATTGCATTTATAAAGCGCCTTTCACGTCAGGAGGACGAACCAAGGCGCTGCACAGTTGGGTCATGACCCGAGCAGGGGGGAAATGGTCAGGGTGAGGGGAGGGAAGGGAGGGAGCGAGGAGGGAGGAAATGGTCAGGGTGAGGGGAGGGAAGGGAGGGAGCGAGGAGGGGGGGAATGGTCAGGCGGAGGGGAGGGAAGGGAGGGAGCGAGGAGGGGGGAAATGGTCAGGGTGAGGGGAGGGAAGGGAGGGAGCGAGGAGGGGGAAGAATATAATTTGAAAATGTTATCTCCATTTTAGGAACAACAAAAACAAGCAGAGTTCCACTAATCCAACCTATCATCACTGGTACTTAATTTATTTTTCATTTTCCATTTTCTGTCTGTCAACCAAACTGTCTTTCACCAAAAGCTGCCATTTATGAACTAATTGTTCAGTAGACAATTATTGATTGTGACTGATATGAGCTATTTTTCCTGTTTGAAAATCATTTACTTTTTTTTAAATATGGTTATTTAATGCTTAACTATGTTAATCCACAAGTCAGAATTTTTTTGGTTTGTGAAAAAAGTTGAGGTCACCAAACTGAATTTCCCATGTATTGGTTTACAATACTTACTCTATAATTAAAAAAAGTCTTCCTTTAGAAGAAAGAATACTGATGGGCCCTTCACCAACAACACTGGAAGCAATATATTTTTGTATGACTTTGCAATTTCATTCATCAAATCTGTATTTATATATGTGTATTTATATATTTAATAATAGTAATATATCCTTAACAACGTTAACAATAATAATCATCCTGCATTTGAAATAGCGCTTTTCACGTCTTCTACACGGCTCAATACGCTTCACAGAATTTGTGAGCGAAATGCGGCAGCCAAATTGCGCACAGCAGTGTCCCACAAACAGTCGTAGATTGAAGTGACCAATTTATTATTGTTTTCTTTCCTGAGGGATTATGATTAGGTGTGTGCAGTAAGGAAACTTGCTAAAATTAAAAGAACTTCATAGCTGATTCTCCAACCATTCATTTAAACTCCTTTCTTTTTCCTCGAGAAGAAATACAAACTATTGCCTCAACGCCAAGCACAGCAGGTAAGCAATATCTTTCGAGATACAACACTACAATGACGTTCACTGAATATGACACTTATTAGTTGAGGAATAATTTTATGACACTTTTTATGATGTTTGATTCCAATTTAATATTGAGCCTTGGAACTTTGCTGTGACATCAAAAATAATCTTTTTGTATCGTGAAAGATTCCAGAACAAAATGAAATAGAATTACTGATCTGGATTAGAATTGCTATGGATGTAATCCAAAGACAGTGAATTTCTAGACTTAGTGTTGCTCTTGGAAAGTTTGATATTGAAGTATATCCTATGTTGATGCTGCAGCAAGTTTATCAGGTATCAAGTGTCTGCGAATACTGGTTTGATGCACATTTTGTTGTTTAGAATCAACAACAACTCCGTCAACAACAATAAGTACAACCACTGTTACCCATTCAAGCGGTAGGAAAATCGTGTTTTGCATGCAAATGATTCATGTTTCACACAATTAATACGAATACAAGAATATCATTTGAAAATGTTATCTCCATTTTAGGAACAACAAAAACAAGCAGAGTTCCACTAATCCAACCTATCATCACTGGTACTTAATTTATTTTTCATTTTCCATTTTCTGTCTGTCAACCAAACTGTCTTTCACCAAAAGCTGCCATTTATGAACTAATTGTTCAGCAGACAATTATTGATTGTGACTTTTAACAAACAACACTGGAAGTACTATATTTTTGTATGACTTTGCAATTTCATTCACCAAGTCTATATGTATCCATGTTTATTTATATATTTAATAATAGTAATATATCCTTAACAATGATAATAATCCTGCATTTGAAATAGCACTTTTCACGTCTTCTACACGGCTCAATGCGCTTCACAGAATTTGTGAGCGAAATGCGGCAGCCAAATTGCGCACAGCAGTGTCCCACAAACAGTCGTGGATTGAAGTGACCAATTTATTATCGTTTTATTTCCTGAGGGATTATGATTAGGTGTGTGGAGTAAGGAAACTTGCTGAAAGTAAAAGAACTTCATAGCTTATTCTGTAAACTTTCATTTAAACTCCTTTCTTTTTCCTCGAGAAGAAACACCGGCTAATACCTCAACGCCAAGCACAGCAGGTAAGCAATATCTTTCAAGATACAACTCTACAATGACGTTCACTGAATATGACATTTATTAGTTGAGGAATAAATTTATACCTCTTTTTATGATGTTTGATTCCAATTTAATATTGAGCCTTGGAAGTTTGCTGTGACTTCAAAAATAATCTTTTTGTATCGTGAAAGATTCCAGACCAAAATGAAATAGAATTACTGATCTGGATTAGAATTGCTATGGATGCAATCCAAAGACGGTGTTTTTCTAGACTTAGTGTTGCTCTTGGAAAGTTTGATATTGAAGTACATCCTATGTTGATGCTGCAGCAAGTTTATCAGGTATCAAGTGTCTGCGAATACTGGTTTGATGCATTTTTTGTTGTTTAGAATCAACAACAACTCCGTCAACAACAATAAGTACAACCACTGTTACCCAGTCAAGCGGTAGGAAAATCATCTTTTGCATGCAAATGATTCATGTTTCACACAATTAATACAAATACAAGAATATCATTTGAAAATGTTATCTCCATTTTAGGAACAACAAAAACAAGCAAAATTCGATTAATCCAACATATCATCACTGGTACTTAATTTATTTTTCATTTTCCATTTACTGTCTCTCAAACAAACTGTCTTTCACCAAAAGCTGCCATTGATGAACTAATTGTTCTGTCGACAATTATTGATTGTGATTGATATGAGTTATGTTTCCTGTTTGAAAATCATTTACTATTGTGTTTTTTAAATCTTGTTATTTAATGCTTAATTATGTTAATCCACAAGTCAGAATTTTTTTGGTTTGTGAAAAAAGTTGAGGTCACCAAACTGAATTTCCCATGTATTGGTTTACAATACTTACTCTATAATTAAAAAAAAGTCTTCCTTTAGAAGAAAGAATACCGATGGGCTCTTTAACCAACAACACTGGAAGCAATATATTTTTGTATGACTTTGCAATTTCAATCACCAAGTCTGTATTTATATATGTATATTTTTATATTTAATAATTGTGATATATCCTTCACAATGATAATAATCCTGCATTTGAAATAGCGCTTTTCACGTCTTCTACACGGCTCAATGCGCTTCATAGAATTTGTGAGCGAAATGCGGCAGCCAAATTGCGCACAGCAGTGTCTCACAAACAGTCGTGGATTGAAGTGACCAATTTATTATCGTTTTCTTTCCTGAGGGATTATGATTAGGTGTGTGGAGTAAGGAAACTTGCTGAAAGTAAAAGAACTTCAAAGCTTATTCTGTAAACTTTCATTTAAACTCCTTTCTTTTTCCTCGAGAAGAAACACCGGCTAATACCTCAACGCCAAGCACAGCAGGTAAGCAATATCTTTCAAGATACAACTCTACAATGACGTTCACTGAATATGACATTTATTAGTTGAGGAATAAATTTATACCTCTTTTTATGATGTTTGATTCCAATTTAATATTGAGCCTTGGAAGTTTGCTGTGACATCAAAAATAATCTTTTTGTATCGTGAAAGATTCCAGAACAAAATGAAATAGAATTACTGATCTGGATTAGAATTGCTATGGATGCAATCCAAAGACAGTGTTTTTCTAGACTCAGTGTTGCTCTTGGAAAGTTTAATATTGAAGTCTATCCTATGTTGATGCTGCTACAAGTTTATCAAGTATCAAGTGTCTGCGAATACTGGTTTGTTACATTTTTTGTTGTTTAGAATCAACAACAACTCCGTCAACAACAATAAGTACAACCACTGTTACCCAGTCAAGCGGTAGGAAAATCGTCTTTAGCAGCAAATGATTCATGTTTCACACAATTAATACAAATACAAGAATATCATTTGAAAATGTTATTTCCATTTTAGGAACAACAAAAAGAAGCAGAGTTCCATTAATCCAACCTATCATCACTGGTACTTAATTTATTTTTCATTTTCCATTTTCTGTCTGTCAACCAAACTGTCTTTCACCAAAAGCTGCCATTTATGAACTAATTGTTCAGCAGACAATTATTGATTGTGACTGATATGAGCTATTTTTCCTGTTTGAAAATCATTTACTTTTTTTNAAATATGGTTATTTAATGCTTAACTATGTTAATCCACAAGTCAGAATTTTTTTGGTTTGTGAAAAAAGTTGAGGTCACCAAACTGAATTTCCCATGTATTGGTTTACAATACTTACTCTATAATTAAAAAAAGTCTTCCTTTAGAAGAAAGAATACTGATGGGCCCTTCACCAACAACACTGGAAGCAATATATTTTTGTATGACTTTGCAATTTCATTCACCAAGTCTGTATTTATATATGTATATTTTTATATTTAATAATCGTGATATATCCTTAACAATGATAATAATAATCATCCTGCATTTGAAATAGCGCTTTTCACGTCTTCTACACGGCTCAATGCGCTTCACAGAATTTGTGAGCGAAATGCGGCAGCCAAATTGCGCACAGCAGTGTCCCACAAACAGTCGTGGATTGAAGTGACCAATTTATTATCGTTTTCTTTCCTGAGGGATTATGATTAGGTGTGTACAGTAAGGAAACTTGCTAAAATTAAAAGAACTTCATAGCTGATTCTCCAACCATTCATTTAAACTCCTTTATTTTTCCTCGAGAAGAAACACCGACTATTGCCTCAACGCCAAGCACAGCAGGTAAGCAATATCTTTCGAGATACAACACTACAATGACGTTCACTGAATATGACACTTATTAGTTGAGGAATAATTTTATAACACTTTTTATGATGTTTGATTCCAATTTAATATTGAGCCTTGGAAGTTTGCTGTGACATCAAAAATAATCTTTTTGTATCGTGAAAGATTCCAGAACAAAATGAAATAGAATTACTGATCTGGATTAGAATTGCTATGGATGTAATCCAAAGACAGTTAATTTCTAGACTTAGTGTTGCTCTTGGAAAGTTTGATATTGAAGTATATCCTATGTTGATGCTGCAGCAAGTTTATCAGGTATCAAGTGTCTGCGAATACTGGTTTGATGCATTTTTTGTTGTTTAGAATCAACAACAACTCCATCAACAACAATAAGTACAACCACTGTTACCCATTCAAGCGGTAGGAAAATCGTGTTTTGCATGCAAATGATTCATGTTTCACACAATTAATACGAATACAAGAATATCATTTGAAAATGTTATCTCCATTTTAGGAACAACAAAAACAAGCAGAGTTCCACTAATCCAACCTATCATCACTGGTACTTAATTTATTTTTCATTTTCCATTTTCTGTCTGTCAACCAAACTGTCTTTCACCAAAAGCTGCCATTTATGAACTAATTGTTCAGCAGACAATTATTGATTGTGACTGATATGAGCTATTTTTCCTGTTTGAAAATCATTTACTTTTTTTTAAATATGGTTATTTAATGCTTAACTATGTTAATCCACAAGTCAGAATTTTTTTGGTTTGTGAAAAAAGTTGAGGTCACCAAACTGAATTTCCCATGTATTGCTTTAGAATACTTACTCTATAATTAAAAAAAGTCTTCCTTTAGAAGAAAGAATACTGATGGGCCCTTCACCAACAACACTGGAAGCAATATATTTTTGTATGACTTTGCAATTTCATTCACCAAGTCTGTATTTATATATGTATATTTATATATTTAATAATAGTAATATATCCTTAACAATGATAATAATAATAATCCTGCATTTGAAATAGCGCTTTTCACGTCTTCAACATGGCGTTTCACACTTGACACTTGAGTACATCCTATGTTGATGCGGCTACAAGTTTATCAAGTATCTGCGAATACTGGTTTGATGCATTTTTTGTTTTTTAGAATCAACAACAACTCCGTCAACAACAATAAGTACAACCACTGTTACCCAGTCAAGCGGTAGGAAAATCATCTTTTGCATGCAAATGATTCATGTTTCACACAATTAATACAAATACAAGAATATCATTTGAAAATGTTATCTCCATTTTAGGAACAACAAAAACAAGCAAAATTCGATTAATCCAACATATCATCACTGGTACTTAATTTATTTTTCATTTTCCATTTACTGTCTCTCAAACAAACTGTCTTTCACCAAAAGCTGCCATTGATGAACTAATTGTTCAGCAGACAATTATTGATTATGACTGATATGAGCTATTTTTCCTGTTTGAAAATCATTTACTTTTTTTTAAATATGGTTATTTAATGCTTAACTATGTTAATCCACAAGTCAGAATTTTTTTGGTTTGTGAAAAAAGTTGAGGTCACGAAACTGAATTTCCCATGTATTGGTTTACAATACTTACTCTATAATTAAAAAAAAGTCTTCCTTTAGAAGGAAGAATACCGATGGGCTCTTTAACCAACAACACTGGAAGCAATATATTTTTGTATGACTTTGCAATTTCAAACACCAAGTCTTTATTTATATATGTATATTTTTATATTTAATAATCGTGATATATCCTTAACAATGATAATAATAATCATCCTGCATTTGAAATAGCGCTTTTCACGTCTTCGACACGGCTCAATGCGCTTCACAGAATTTGTGAGCGAAATGCGGCAGCCAAATTGCGCACAGCAGTGTCCCACAAACAGTCGTGGATTGAAGTGACCAATTTATTATCGTTTTCTTTCCTGAGGGATTATGATTAGGTGTGTGCAGTAAGGAAACTTGCTAAAATTAAAAGAACTTCATAGCTGATTCTCCAACCATTCATTTAAACTCCTTTCTTTTTCCTCGAGAAGAAACACCGACTATTGCCTCAACGCCAAGCACAGCAGGTAAGCAATATCTTTCGAGATACAACACTACAATGACGTTCACTGAATATGACACCTATTAGTTGAGGAATAATTTTATAACACTTTTTATGATGTTTGATTCCAATTTAATATTGAGCCTTGGAAGTTTGCTGTGACATCAAAAATAATCTTTTTGTATCGTGAAAGATTCCAGAACAAAATGAAATAGAATTACTGATCTGGATTAGAATTGCTATGGATGCAAACCAAAGACGGTGTTTTTCTAGACTTAGTGTTGCTCTTGGAAAGTTTGATATTGAAGTATATCCTATGTTGATGCTGCAGCAAGTTTATCAGGTATCAAGTGTCTGCGAATACTGGTTTGATGCATTTTTTGTTGTTTAGAATCAACAACAACTCCGTCAACAACAATAAGTACAACCACTGTTACCCAGTCAAGCGGTAGGAAAATCATCTTTTGCATGCAAATGATTCATGTTTCACACAATTAATACAAATACAAGAATATCATTTGAAAATGTTATCTCCATTTTAGGAACAACAAAAACAAGCAAAATTCGATTAATCCAACATATCATCACTGGTACTTAATTTATTTTTCATTTTCCATTTACTGTCTCTCAAACAAACTGTCTTTCACCAAAAGCTGCCATTGATGAACTAATTGTTCTGTCGACAATTATTGATTGTGATTGATATGAGTTATGTTTCCTGTTTGAAAATCATTTACTATTGTGTTTTTTAAATCTTGTTATTTAATGCTTAATTATGTTAATCCACAACTCAGAATTTTTTTGGTTTGTGAAAAAAGTTGAGGTCACCAAACTGAATTTCCCATGTATTGGTTTACAATACTTACTCTATAATTAAAAAAAAGTCTTCCTTTAGAAGAAAGAATACCGATGGTCTCTTTAACCAACAACACTGGAAGCAATATATTTTTGTATGACTTTGCAATTTCAATCACCAAGTCTGTATTTATATATGTATATTTTTATATTTACTAATCGTGATATATCCTTAACAATGATAATAATCCTGCATTTGAAATAGCACTTTTCACGTCTTCTACACGGCTCAATGCTCTTCACAGAATTTGTGAGCGAAATGCGGCAGCCAAATTGCGCACAGCAGTGTCCCACAAACAGTCGTGGATTGAAGTGACCAATTTATTATTGTTTTCTTTCCTGAGGGATTATGATTAGGAGTGTGGAGTAAGGAAACTTGCTGAAAGTAAAAGAACTTCATAGCTTATTCTGTAAACTTTCATTTAAACTCCTTTCTTTTTCCTCGAGAAGAAACACCGGCTAATACCTCAACGCCAAGCACAGCAGGTAAGCAATATCTTTCAAGATACAACTCTACAATGACGTTCACTGAATATGACATTTATTAGTTGAGGAATAAATTTATACCTCTTTTTATGATGTTTGATTCCAATTTAATATTGAGCCTTGGAAGTTTGCTGTGACATCAAAAATAATCTTTTTGTATCGTGAAAGATTCAAGAACAAAATGAAATAGAATTACTGATCTGGATTAGAATTGCTATGGATGCAATCCAAAGACAGTGTTTTTCTAGACTCAGTGATGCTCTTGGAAAGTTTGATATTGAAGTATATCCTATGTTGATGCTGCTACAAGTTTATCAAGTATCAAATGTCTGCGAATACTGGTTTGATGCAATTTTTGTTGTTTAGAATCAACAACAACTCCGTCAACAACAATAAGTACAACCACTGTTACCCAGTCAATAGGTAGGAAAATCGTCTTTAGCAGCAAATGATTCATGTTTCACACAATTAATACGAATACAAGAATATCATTTGAAAATGTTATCTCCATTTTAGGAACAACAAAAACAAGCAGAGTTCCACTAATCCAACCTATCATCACTGGTACTTAATTTATTTTTCATTTTCCATTTTCTGTCTGTCAACCAAACTGTCTTTCACCAAAAGCTGCCATTTATGAACTAATTGTTCAGCAGACAATTATTGATTGTGACTGATATGAGCTATTTTTCCTGTTTGAAAATCATTTACTTTTTTTTAAATATGGTTATTTAATGCTTAACTATGTTAATCCACAAGTCAGAATTTTTTTGGTTTGTGAAAAAAGTTGAGGTCACCAAACTGAATTTCCCATGTATTGGTTTAGAATACTTACTCTATAATTAAAAAAAGTCTTCCTTTAGAAGAAAGAATACTGATGGGCCCTTCACCAACAACACTGGAAGCAATATATTTTTGTATGACTTTGCAATTTCATTCACCAAGTCTGTATTTATATATGTATATTTATATATTTAATAATAGTAATATATCCTTAACAATGATAATAATAATAATCCTGCATTTGAAATAGCGCTTTTCACGTCTTCAACATGGCGTTTCACACTTGACACTTGAGTACATCCTATGTTGATGCGGCTACAAGTTTATCAAGTATCTGCGAATACTGGTTTGATGCATTTTTTGTTTTTTAGAATCAACAACAACTCCGTCAACAACAATAAGTACAACCACTGTTACCCAGTCAAGCGGTAGGAAAATCATCTTTTGCATGCAAATGATTCATGTTTCACACAATTAATACAAATACAAGAATATCATTTGAAAATGTTATCTCCATTTTAGGAACAACAAAAACAAGCAGAGTTCCACTAATCCAACCTATCATCACTGGTACTTAATTTATTTTTCATTTTCCATTTACTGTCTCTCAAACAAACTGTCTTTCACCAAAAGCTGCCATTGATGAACTAATTGTTCTGTCGACAATTATTGATTGTGATTGATATGAGTTATGTTTCCTGTTTGAAAATCATTTACTATTGTGTTTTTTAAATCTTGTTATTTAATGCTTAATTATGTTAATCCACAAGTCAGAATTTTTTTGGTTTGTGAAAAAAGTTGAGGTCACCAAACTGAATTTCCCATGTATTGGTTTACAATACTTACTCTATAATTAAAAAAAAGTCTTCCTTTAGAAGAAAGAATACCGATGGGCTCTTTAACCAACAACACTGGAAGCAATATATTTTTGTATGACTTTGCAATTTCAATCACCAAGTCTGTATTTATATATGTATATTTTTATATTTACTAATCGTGATATATCCTTAACAATGATAATAATCCTGCATTTGAAATAGCACTTTTCACGTCTTCTACACGGCTCAATGCTCTTCATAGAATTTGTGAGCGAAATGCGGCAGCCAAATTGCGCACAGCAGTGTCCCACAAACAGTCGTGGATTGAAGTGACCAATTTATTATTGTTTTCTTTCCTGAGGGATTATGATTAGGAGTGTGGAGTAAGGAAACTTGCTGAAAGTAAAAGAACTTCATAGCTTATTCTGTAAACTTTCATTTAAACTCCTTTCTTTTTCCTCGAGAAGAAACACCGGCTAATACCTCAACGCCAAGCACAGCAGGTAAGCAATATCTTTCAAGATACAACTCTACAATGACGTTCACTGAATATGACATTTATTAGTTGAGGAATAAATTTATACCTCTTTTTATGATGTTTGATTCCAATTTAATATTGAGCCTTGGAAGTTTGCTGTGACATCAAAAATAATCTTTTTGTGTCGTGAAAGATTCAAGAACAAAATGAAATAGAATTACTGATCTGGATTAGAATTGCTATGGATGCAATCCAAAGACAGTGTTTTTCTAGACTCAGTGATGCTCTTGGAAAGTTTGATATTGAAGTATATCCTATGTTGATGCTGCTACAAGTTTATCAAGTATCAAGTGTCTGCGAATACTGGTTTGATGCATTTTTTGTTGTTTAGAATCAACAACAACTCCATCAACAACAATAAGTACAACCACTGTTACCCATTCAAGCGGTAGGAAAATCGTGTTTTGCATGCAAATGATTCATGTTTCACACAATTAATACGAATACAAGAATATCATTTGAAAATGTTATCTCCATTTTAGGAACAACAAAACCAAGCAGAGTTCCACTAATCCAACCTATCATCACTGGTACTTAATTTATTTTTCATTTTCCATTTTCTGTCTGTCAACCAAACTGTCTTTCACCAAAAGCTGCCATTTATGAACTAATTGTTCAGCAGACAATTATTGATTGTGACTGATATGAGCTATTTTTCCTGTTTGAAAATCATTTACTTTTTTTTAAATATGGTTATTTAATGCTTAACTATGTTAATCCACAAGTCAGAATTTTTTTGGTTTGTGAAAAAAGTTGAGGTCACCAAACTGAATTTCCCATGTATTGGTTTACAATACTTACTCTATAATTAAAAAAAGTCTTCCTTTAGAAGAAAGAATACTGATGGGCCCTTCACCAACAGCACTGGAAGCAATATATTTTGTATGACTTTGCAATTTCATTCACCAAGTCTGTATTTATATATGTATATTTTTATATTTAATAATAGTAATATATCCTTAACAATGATAATAATAATAATCCTGCATTTGAAATAGCGCTTTTCACGTCTTCAACATGGCGTTTCACACTTGACACTGAAGTATATCCTATGTTGATGCGGCTACAAGTTTATCAAGTATCTGCGAATACTGGTTTGATGCATTTTTTGTTTTTTAGAATCAACAACAACTCCGTCAACAACAATAAGTACAACCACTGTTACCCAGTCAAGCGGTAGGAAAATCATCTTTTGCATGCAAATGATTCATGTTTCACACAATTAATACAAATACAAGAATATCATTTGAAAATGTTATCTCCATTTTAGGAACAACAAAAACAAGCAAAATTCGATTAATCCAACATATCATCACTGGTACTTAATTTATTTTTCATTTTCCATTTACTGTCTCTCAAACAAACTGTCTTTCACCAAAAGCTGCCATTGATGAACTAATTGTTCTGTTGACAATTATTGATTGTGATTGATATGAGTTATGTTTCCTGTTTGAAAATCATTTACTATTGTGTTTTTTAAATCTTGTTATTTAATGCTTAATTATGTTAATCCACAAGTCAGAATTTTTTTGGTTTGTGAAAAAAGTTGAGGTCACCAAACTGAATTTCCCATGTATTGGTTTACAATACTTACTCTATAATTAAAAAAAAGTCTTCCTTTAGAAGAAAGAATACCGATGGGCTCTTTAACCAACAACACTGGAAGCAATATATTTTTGTATGACTTTGCAATTTCAATCACCAAGTCTGTATTTATATATGTATATTTTTATATTTAATAATCGTGATATATCCTTAACAATGATAATAATAATCATCCTGCATTTGAAATAGCGCTTTTCACGTCTTCTACACGGCTCAATGCGCTTCACAGAATTTGTGAGCGAAATGCGGCAGCCAAATTGCGCACAGCAGTGTCCCACAAACAGTCGTGGATTGAAGTGACCAATTTATTATCGTTTTCTTTCCTGAGGGATTATGATTAGGTGTGTGCAGTAAGGAAACTTGCTAAAATTAAAAGATTCTCCAACCATTCTAGCTGATTCTCCAACCATTCATTTAAACTCCTTTCTTTTTCCTCGAGAAGAAACACCGACTATTGCCTCAACGCCAAGCACAGCAGGTAAGCAATATCTTTCGAGATACAACACTACAATGACGTTCACTGAATATGACACGTATTAGTTGAGGAATAATTTTATAACACTTTTTATGATGTTTGATTCCAATTTAATATTGAGCCTTGGAAGTTTGCTGTGACATCAAAAATAATCTTTTTGTATCGTGAAAGATTCCAGAACAAAATGAAATAGAATTACTGATCTGGATTAGAATTGCTATGGATGTAATCCAAAAACAGTGAATTTCTAGACTTAGTGTTGCTCTTGGAAAGTTTGATATTGAAGTATATCCTATGTTGATGCTGCAGCAAGTTTATCAGGTATCAAGTGTCTGCGAATACTGGTTTGATGCATTTTTTGTTGTTTAGAATCAACAACAACTCCATCAACAACAATAAGTACAACCACTGTTACCCATTCAAGCGGTAGGAAAATCGTGTTTTGCATGCAAATGATTCATGTTTCACACAATTAATACGAATACAAGAATATCATTTGAAAATGTTATCTCCATTTTAGGAACAACAAAAACAAGCAGAGTTCCACTAATCCAACCTATCATCACTGGTACTTAATTTATTTTTCATTTTCCATTTTCTGTCTGTCAACCAAACTGTCTTTCACCAAAAGCTGCCATTTATGAACTAATTGTTCAGCAGACAATTATTGATTGTGACTGATATGAGCTATGTTTCCTTTTTGAAAATCATTTACTTTTTTTTAAAAAATGGTTATTTAATGCTTAACTATGTTAATCCACAAATCAGAATTTTTTTGGTTTGTGAAAAAAGTTGAGGTCACCAAACTGAATTTCCCATGTATTGGTTTACAATGCTTACTCTATAATTAAAAAAATAGTCTTCCTTTAGAAGAAAGATTACTGATGGGCCCTTCACCAACAACACTGGAAGCAATATAATTTGTATGAGTTTGCAATTTCATTCAGCAAGTCTATATTTATGTATGTATGTTTATATATTTAATAATAGTAATATATCCTTAACAATGATAATAATCCTGCATTTGAAATAGCTCTTTTCACGTCTTCTACACGGCTCAAAGCACTCCACAGAATATGCTGTGAAGTGAATTGTCTCTATATTTGTGAGCGAAATGCGGCAGCCAAATTGCACACAGCAGTGTCCCACAAACAGTCGTGGATTGAAGTGACCAATTTATTATTGTTTTCTTTCCTAAGGGATTATGATTAGGTGTGCGGAATAAGGAAACTTGCTGAAAGTAAAAGAATTTCATAGCTTATTCTCCAACCTTTCATTTAAACTCCTTTCTTTTTCCTCGAGAAGAAACACCGACTATTGCTTCAACGCTAAGCACAGCAGGTAAGCAATAACTTTCTAGATACATCACTACAATGACGTTCACTGAATATGACAATTATTAGTTGAGGAATAATTTTATACCACTTGTTATGATGTTTGATTCAAATTTAATATTGAGCCTTGGAAGTTTGCTGTGATATCAAATATAATCTTTTTGTATCGTGAAAGATTCCAGACCAAAATGAAATAGAATTACTGATCTGGATTGGAAATGTTGTTGGTTTAATGGTTGAAGAATAATAAGAATAACTCCATTAATCCAATCTATCATCACTGTTACTTAATTTAGTTTTTCTTTTTCACTTATTGTCTCTCACTGAAACTTTCTTTCACCAAAAGCTGCCATTATGCTCTAATTGTTCAGTAGACAATTATTGTTACTGATTTGAGCTATGTTTCCTTTTGCAAATGATTTACCTTTGTGTTTTTTTAAATATTGTTTTTTCATGCTTGACTATGTTAATTCACAAGTCAGAATTTTTTTGATTTGCAAACCGTTTAGGTCAGAAAATTGTATTTCCCATATATTTTGTGCGAGAAAAGGGGAATGACTTTCTAATGTTTCTAATCAGCGCCTTGGGACGTCCTCCCGACGTGAAAGGCGCTCTATAAATGGAATCTTGTTGTTGTTGTTTTGGATATAATGATGGTGAAAGAGCCATTCATGCTTTTCAATGTTATTATCTTTACATTTCATATGGTACATTTCACATTGGGAGGACACCTGATAGCACTTCACATTGTTTACTGTACAGTAAATGTAATGTCCACTATGCAGTTTTGTGGGAAGATCAATTTAAAAAAAAATCATAGCTGATTCTCCAACCATTCATTTAAACTCTTCTTTTTCCTTGAGAAGGAACAACAGCTAATGCCCCAATGTCAAGCACTGCCGGTCAGCAATATCTTTCTGGATACAACACTACATTTACTATCACTGAATATGACAATTAATAGTTGTGCGATGGTTTTCGCCATTTGATGTATGTGCAAATTTTATTAACGATTTCGTACTAAGTAATCTTTGCTTCTCTCCTAACCCTGTCGGTGTAAGATCTTATTTCAAATATTTCAAAGATGAGTCAACCAAGTCAGAGTCACACACAGACAGTTATTCTCAGTTAACCCCAATGCCCGGTGACTGGAATGTCTTATTGGAGTCTGTTGGCACTAGTAGACCTCTGATGTTGACAACAATTGTTAAGAAGAAAAAACCTTTTCGAGTTCCAATCAAACACAGCCACTGTTTGCAACCAGAGTGGTGTTTATTAAACTCCAGGATCCGTCCAACTTCCCGATGGGCGTGGGCAAGTAAGCACAATCAATCAATTCACTAACAGAACAGTACTACCGCGTAATCGCTCCTCGTGGTCATCTACTTCTGACTTCTAGCTCTCAGTCTTCCATCCACGATAGGTACTGTCCTGGGCGCGCCGATCTTGGTCTGGCACGGTGTCTTAAGCTTGTGTCCATCCAATCATGGTGCGGACATTAGATCACCTGGCCAAAATCATGCTGGGTTCACGTAAACACCTCATGGGGTGTATGTGCCTCAGCCCACATACACATTGTCCTTAATTGTCTAAGATAGAGGATTGATCAGTTTAGGGCTGTATCTGGTGCTCATTATTTTGTGGTGTGGGATCATTAGTACATTCCTTTTAAGTGAGTGGTTATTCCTTATCAGTATCCCGGGACGGTACCAAGGTCCTCTAGTTTAAGCAACATGCTCATTAGTTGCTATTCTTGAGGGTTGCCTTCTGTCGCTCGGCAGGCCCTGTCAGAATCTAGCGACTTATTGCTCAGTCGAGATCCTGTGTCGACTGGTACCTTGGACCGTTACCTCTGTGGCTTGTTGTCATTTACTGATAAGAGGTGACCCCCTACTCCTGTCCGTTATTCTTTCAAAAACAGAGAAAACCAGATGTGTCCTATCCCATGACTGTCAGTCCAGTTGTCCCCCACACTTAACTTAAAAGTTAACCTGTTCGCAACATCTATTATGATTCTAACATTATACAAAAAGTGTAAATTCTAACAGTCCCCACCTTGATACCGAATGAACATGTGGTATCACAAAACTACAAAAAGAATATAATACAATGTCAGAAATATAATACAAGGTTAACAACTAGACACCTGGTTATTTTGTGCATATCTATAAGCTGTTAATAAGAAAGTATTATGAGGGTTTCCATCAAAGGGTTTATCATGGGAGTAAACATGGGAGTTCTGGATTAGTAGTATTACAACGCCAAGCACCAGGCCTCCAGTAATTCCATCCAGATCCATATTGATACAGAAGATCCGGTAATCACTCGGTTGGTGCCTGCAAAATACAAATGTAGCATATATTCAGTCATCAGTTTATCCTTTTCCTTTCTTTTCAGTTTTGAGTTGATTCACATGGTACCATTTAGTCAATTTAGAAGACAAACGCATGGCAATTAAATATACTGCCGGGCTTGCCTTTTCCAAAATTTCAAAAGGCCCTTTCAATCGCGGGTCAAAAGGAGATTCCTTTTTCCCGAACACGTGGACCATGACTTCATCTCCAATTTCATACTCCACATGGTTAACGGTAGTGTCAAATTGTTGCTTCATAGTTTGTTTCGCCTTACCAGTGTTTGTAGCCACAAACCTGTTGGTTTCCTGTATGATCTTTAGCATCTCTTTCAGTCATGTCTCCTCTGCAGTTCGCTGCAATTTAACATTACCCTCTAATTGTTCAAGGGCTTGTTTAGTCATCACTACTGTACAACCTGGTAGCCTCATTAAACGACCTGTCATCGCTTGATAGGGTGAAATGCCAGTAGTACCATGTGGGGTGGAGCAAATTGCCATTAGACACAGTGGCAATCCCTTCATCCATTGCGTGGGGTGATCTGCACAAAATTTTGACAACAAAACCTTTAATGTGCGGTTACTTCTTTCTACTACCCCTGAGGATTGAGGATGGTATGACACATGCAATTTGTGATCAATTTCCAGCAATTCCATCAATTTGGTAAAATCTTCGCCCGTGAAATGTGATCCCTGATCACTATCCAATATACCAGGGATTCCCCACCTGCAGATCACCTCACGCAATAAAATGCATGCAGCAGTGAGCACTGTGTTATTTTTAGTCGGGAAAGCTTCAATCCATTTTGTAAACTTATCAATAATGACTAAACAGTATTTGTAACCACCGGCAGCTGTGGGCAATGGTCCAATAAAATCAATCTGAATATTGGTCCAAGGACCCGAGGGAGAGGGTGCACTTTGCAATAACGCTCGATTAGTAGATCGAGGGGGATTCTGCTGGAGACACACAAGGCATGTCTTACATCGTTCCCGAACGTCATGAGACAAACCAGGCCACCAGACAGAGCGCAATAACTTAGTGATGGTTTTTGAAGGACCAAAGTGACCACCAGTAGGATGTGAGTGGTATAACTGAAACATCGCATCAGCACAATCTGGGGGAATACACACAGTGGAGATATCGTGCTTAGAATACATGAGAACAGGGGAGGCCAGAGAGTCCAGAGGAACATACAAATGGGTGTGCACTAGCCAATCATATTGTGGCTCGGGATGGATATCAAGTCCAGCAAGTTGCTCCTGGTGCCACTGCACGGCTTCGATGTAAGGCGGGTATGAATTCTGGAGTTTAATCAAATCAGTCAAAGTGGGCGAAGTCGAGATACTCATCACTGAGTGGGATGGAAGAGGGGAAGAAATCCATGCCTCTCCATCAAGAGCGGACTGGCGAGCAACGACATCAGCACGATTGTTCCTGTGTGAGTGTGGTCCAGTCTTTTGATGACCTGCCACCTTACCAACATACATCGGATGGGTGCGACAGAATATCTCATCAGCCAGACATCTCAGAAGTGATGCGTGAACCAACGCCTTTCCTGCAGAGGTACAAAAATTTCGGGAAGAGTACAAAGGTAGTCGTAACACAGTATTTACAACATAAGCGCTGTCGGACCATATGTTGGTAACCACTTTGGCAGTCCGGCGCACCACTTCAATGAGTGCAGCCAACTCAGCATATTGAGCAGAATGTAGTATGCAGTGGAAACCAATGTCACGATCAGGGAGGATAACGGAAAAAACAATGAATGCCTTGCCATCAACATGGAAGGAGGAGCCATCAATGTACACATTGGTGACAGGCTGCACCGGGGAAGCCTCCAGTGGGGACTTAAGGATCCCAGTATCGCTGAAGTTCAAGCACGGAAGAGGGCCACCGTCATACAACATCATCGGGGAATGAGGGTAGTCAGACCAGTAACAACCGATAAATCAGCAGCAGCCAGAGTGAGAGCCCATTCAATGAGTCTTTGCGAGGAGATAAGCGTATTGCCCGGTGGTTGCAGGAGACGAACGGGGGTGTGCGGAGAGTGAAGGATAATATTCTGGAGTCCAGTGATGTATTGAAAGGAGGTGACTGCCCAACACATGGCTAAAAGGTGATGTTCACACAGATCAAACTGTTTCTCCACACCAGTAAGAATGCGAGATATATATGCAATCGGGAGGTATCGACCTTCAAACTGCTGAGTCAAAACGGCTGCTAATGCAGTAGGACTTCCGGCAACCTCTAAGTGAAAAGGCTGATCAAGCTGGGGGTGCACCAAACCAGCAGCCTGCTTGTTTAAGTTGAGATACGGCTTCCGTATGTTCATCTGTCCAGTGTTCACGGAGATCATCAGGGATATTGCCTTTAACAAGGTTGTACAGCAGCTTGGCCAGTTCAGCAAATTGTGGGAGAAATTGCTTTTGGTACCCCACCAGTCCAAGGAAGGAATAAAGTGCAGTCTTGGTCACAGGCAGTGGGAGGCTCTGAATGATGTCGACCTTATGAGCAACAGGTCGAAGTCCCTCTGCATCCAGTTGTACACTGAGAAAAGAGACAGCTGGAACACACAATCGTACCTTCATGGGGTTCAGTTTCAATCCAGCTTGAAGAAGCACTTTCAATACCCGTTCTAGGAGAGTCCGATGAG